CCCACCAAACCCCCCTTTCGCGCACGCCGCCGGCCCCACCTTTCATTCCACCGCTTTCTTCTCTCCTTTCTCTCCCCCCGTCTATTTTTCGGCCCGTTTTCCCTCTGGTGTCTCCCTTTCTACCTTTTTTTGGTTTTATCATCCCTCCCTATTTCGCCTACCTCTTCCGCTACTTTCTTCCCCTTCCCCCTCTTTCCCTTTCTTCTTTCTCTCTCCTTTTTTTCTCCGTCCTCTCTAATCTCTGCTCTTCTCTCCCTCTCCTCTCTACTCTCCTCTCTCTCTCTATATCGAAACCCCCATTTCTCAACTTCGGTACCATTTTTGGCTTTCTACTGCTCCTAGGTGGAGGAACTGGGAAATGTGTTTAGTGGTGAGCTATTGGATGCCCTCTATTCTCACCCTCTGTTCTACATATGTCTCTTGACCATGTGGCAGTGTGGTTGGTGTATGGTACAGGATGGTTTGAATGAGTCTGGAAGATACACCGCTTATCTCCTGTACAGAGAGTAGATCTTGTAAAGGCCCAGGCCAGGTGCCATGAGGCTGAGAGAGGGAGGCATTCAATCACACACTAATGCCTTGGCTCCAGAGACACAGATGCTTCACATACGCACGCACGTACGCACACACACACACTTGTCGACAGGGCCAAATTCATCTTTCCCTTCAATCCCCCCCAACCTCAACCTCTGTCTGACCCCTCTGGAAGTTTTCAGAAAAAATTCTCACTCCCCATCCCAGATCCAGTTCGGAATTCTGCCCCCCCCCCCTCTCCCTCCAAATGCCCTTTCCTTTTCCCCTTTAAGTCATGTGTTTGTTGTTCTTTCCCACTGTTTGTTCATGTTGCGTTTGATCCTGCTGGATTCCAGGACCATGTCATCAACACCGGCTGTTGTTTGCAAGCTGTTTGTTTGCGGAGTTCAACTTACTTATACAAGTTACGAGGAAACATTTAGTTTTGTCGAGTAAGATTAGACGAGGCAGTTTTTCAAGATCAATTCAAAGTAGTGGAGGTGTAGTGGTCCAATGCGAAGGGTCGTTAACTGTCCAATAATGTTGACAGGGAGACAGCCTTGTTGACAGGCGAGACTACTGAGCCGGGGAGTCTGGGTAATGTCCCCTCTCAATACAGTAGGACACACATGAACGCACGCACTGACCATTTTGATGCAGTCCTATAGGAATGTCCCTGTCCAAGCCAGCCTGCTCTCTCCAGTGTGTGTCAGATCCTACACACCCCAGGAGTGCTGAAAGAGAAGTTTCATAGTGAGAGAGTGTGAATGTAAAGTCCTGCCTTTTTAAAATGGGCACAGGGGAAGTATATCTGAGGGGTCCTTCCTCTCCTTCTGGTGTGTTGCTGGTGCAGTAGTACCGGTCTGCAGGGTTCTTAGTGCTGATCTGCTCTCAGCACCTTGCAGGCTGAATGAAACATGAAACTGCCCCCTCACTGAGCCAAAATGGAGACCATCAGCCAGAGATATCAATCTTTCTACATCCGTCCTTGTCACGACTTCCGCCGAAGTTGGTGCCTCTCCTTGTTCGGGTGGCGTTCGGCAGTCGTCATCTCCGGCTTTCTAGCTGCCACCGATCTACGTTTCTTTTTCCATTTGTTTTGTCTTGATTGTACACACCTGGTTCCCATTACATTATATTATTTCCCTATTTAACCCTCTGGTTCCCACATGGTTTTGTGCGTGTTTGTTCTTGGTTTTGTGTCTGAGACTTATGTGAGCTGGTGTGTTTTCCCTGCGTGGAAATTAGTGTTGTTTATTTTTTGAGTAAAGTACGTTGTTTACTCAGTTCTGTGTCCTGTGCCTGACTCCATCCTACCGCTGCACATTGACACTTGACAGAAACACGCACCACATATGGAGTCAGCAGGTGCATCCAGTCCTCCGGTACCAGTGGAGGAGCGCGTCCAGCAGCACGCGACGATGCTCCAGAATCTTGGCACAGCCATGGATCGTGTATTGCAGACCATGGAGCGATGGGAGAGAGGGGGTTTTCCCACAACTCCATCAACTTCAGATCAACCCACACCGATGTCCACCCCTCCGTCACATGGACCCAGTGGGATTCGGCTCTCGCTCCCGAGGGCATATGATGGGACGGCTGCCGGGTGCCAGGGGTTCCTGCTCCAGGTGGAGCTCTACCTGGCAACCATCCACCCGGCTCCCTCGGGATACGAGAGCGTGTCCGCCCTCATCTCCTGTCTGTCGGGGAGAGCGCTTGAGTGGGCCAACGCCGAATGGGGAGGAATAGACGCAGCGTTGGTTCGCTATGAGGATTTCATCAGCCGCTTCCGGGCGGTCTTCTATCATCCAGCTGAGGGGAGAGTGGCGGGGGAACGCTTGTTCTACCTCAGACAGGGGAAGAGGAGCGCACAGGACTTCGCACTGGACTTCAAGACCTTGGCTGCTAGCACGGGATGGAATGAGAGGGCCCTGATCGACCATTACCGGTGTAGTCTACGTGAGGACGTTCGTCTGGAACTGGTATGCAGGGACACCACCCTTACCCTCGACCAGCTGGTGGGTTTATCTATACGGCAGGTTAACCTGTTGGCCACCCGCGGACGTCCGGGTCAGGGTCCGTCCATTCCATCCCCCAGCACCTCCGACCCTACCCCTATGGAGCTCGGAGGTGCTGCTCTAAGAGTGACCGGAGGGGGGGCCGTTTCCCACACCAACTGTGGCCGCAGAGGGCACACTGCTGGTCGGTGCTGGGGAGGTTCCCCAGGGAGTCGAGGCAGCAGGCAGGGCACTGGTGGATCATCCCAGGTGAGTAGGCACCCGACTCACCCAGAGCTCCCTGTTGCGCACATGTGTGTATGCATAGAATTTCCTGAGTTTTCCCCGCATTCCCAGCATAAGGCGCTAGTAGATTCAGGCGCAGTTGCGAATTTTATTGACCGTTCATTTGCACGTAGATTAGGGATCCCTATTGTTCCTGTTGATGTGCCCTTCCCTGTACATGCCTTAGATAGTCGTCCTTTAGGGTCGGGCCTGATTAGGGAGGGCACAGCTCCACTATGTATGAAAACGCAGGAGGGTAATGAGGAGAGAATTAGTCTCTTCCTGATTGATTCTCCTGTGTTTCCTGTGGTGTTGGGGCTTCCCTGGTTGGCCTCTCATGACCCCACTATTTTGTGGCAACAGAGGGCTCTCAAGGGATGGTCATGTCAGTGCTCAGGGAGGTGTGTAGGTGTTTTCATAGGTGCAACTACGGTGGAGAGTCCAAACCAGGTCTCCACTATGCACATTCCCCCCGAATATGCCGATTTGGCTCTCGCCTTCTGTAAAAAAAGAAGGCGACTCAACTACCACCCCATTTTCACCCATTTTGTTTTCACCCTATCCTACAGACCAGGTTCCCAGAACGCTAAGGCAGACAAACTGTCCCGGATGTATGACACAGAGGAGCGGTCCACGGATCCCACTCCCATACTTCCGGCTTCTTGCCTGGTGGCACCGGTGGTATGGGAGGTTGACACGTGCCTTCAGTACCTCGTGGAGTGGGAGGGGTACGGTCCGGAGGAGAGATGCTGGGTGCCGGTGGAGGACATCCTGGACCCTTCCTTACTGCAGGAATTTCACCGTCTCCACCCGGATCGTCCTGCGCCTCGTCCTCCGGGTCGTCCCCGAGGCCGGTGTTGGCGCGCTGCTGGAGCCGCGCATCAAGGGGCGGGTACTGTAACAACTTCCACCGAAGTTGCTGCCTCTCCTTGTTCGGGCGGCGTTTGGCGGTCGTCGTCACCGGCTTTCTAGCTGCCAACGATCTACATTTCTTTTTCCATTTGTTTTGTCTTGATTGTCCACACCTGGTTCCCATTACATTATATTATTTCCCTATTTAACCCTCTGGTTCCCACATGGTTTTGTGCGTGTTTGTTCTTGGTTTTGTGTCTGAGACTTATGTGAGCTGGTGTGTTTTCCCTGCGTGGAAATTAGTGTTGTTTATTTTTCGAGTAAAGTACGTTGTTTACTCAGTTCTGTGTCCTGCGCCTGACTCCGTCCTACCGCTGCACATTGACACTTGACAGTCCTGGCTCTCAATATCACTCCCCCCTAGCCTACCACTTCCACTAACCTCAAACTCCCCCAACTACTGTAAACTCCTATCCCCACACCAGAGGAGGCTGGTGGGAGGAGCTCTAGGAGGACGGGTAATTGTAATGGCTGAAATGGAATTTATGGTTGAGACAAACATGTGGTTTCCATATGTTTGATGTGTTTGATACAGTTCTATTTATTCCATTCCAGCCATTACAATGAACCCGTCCTCCTATAGCTTCTCACCCCAGCCTCCTCTGCCCCACTCCTGTATATCCAAACAGACCCTCTACCCTATCCTTTTCCCCCTCTTCCCCCTATGGTCCAAGCCCAAGCTACTAGCCATCCCTACCTACAACCCCACTCCCCTCCCTCTTACCTCCCCCCTCACCTCCCCACCACCCACCCACCAACCTACCTTAACCCCAACCCCCAACCGTATACCCCCTGTACTTATTTGACTGGACCAACTCATACAACATTCACAAACACCCCCCGGATGCTGAGCCCCACACAGAGCCTCCATGGCTCCAGTCCCAGAAAGTCCAATCCCCCAACCCTCAGATGGGAGAAACCAGATAAAATGGGAGAAACCTGGTGAACAGGGAAAACAAGAGGTTTTCAGAGATGCATTCTTTCATAGTTAACTTTAAGATCCATAGCAGGGTGTATGCTGAAAAAATCCTGACCTGGATTCTATGTAGGAGTGAAAGGGGGGAAAATAACAAAAGGAAAGGAAGAGAGGGAAAGGAAGAGAGGAAAAGGAAGAGAGGGAAAGGAAGAAAGGGAAAGAGGCAGAAGAGGAAGGAGCGAAGCATTGCCGCTACAAGATGCGACAATCAAGGAAGTCAGGAAAGGACGAGTAGAAAAGGACGCTAGCGGAGACGTATCGAGGCAAAGGAACGTTTGCTTACGGACGATGGACATGCGAGACCGGCACCTTAAGAGATGGCTCCTCCAGAGCCTACCGTGGACACTGCAAGTCCTCCGCCCCGCTTACGAGCCCATCGCTGCACTCTAACCGCAGGTACATGTGCGACGTTCAACGCAGAGGGACGTAAGAGGACCGCTGAAGGCGAATAGCATCGGACAGTGAACCTCCGACGGCCTGACGTACGCAAGTGACATGCACGCTACGGCGAACATCAGGTTCGCTGCTAAAGCTCTGAACGCATGCGTATGGCTATCGCGCTAGCACTCTCATGTCGGCACATCCGCTCCATGTGAACTTATCTCTGACCGCGAGCACTTCGAACGTGAAGAACCAGGATCCACTAGACCCGATCCCGCAATTGACTGCGACCACTCCAGTGACCCCCTTCAGCCCTCGACTCGGGTCTCAGCATCGCCGGAAACGCTAAGACGTGGCCATCCGCGCTCTCGTAGCGGAAAGGAACAGGCAAAGGTAGGCCCTCAGAGATCGAGCCTCTACCAGGCTCAGCACACGAGCAGGATACCTCTGCTTCTGATTCAACCCTCAGAGAAAGTCCTACCATGGAGGAGTACGCCGTACCAACTCAGTCCACAGTGGCAACAGGACTATGGACAAGCAATCTCGAGCATAGTAGCGGGAAACGATGTACTAGAAGGACCACCAGGCTATCCATACGTCAGACTGAAGAGAGGGAAAGGAAAGAGAGGGAAAAGGAAGAGAGGAAAAGGAAGAGAGGGGAAAGGAAGAGAGGAAAGAGAAGAGAGGAAAGGTCTATTGCCGATCTTCACAGTGCTCTCTTTCCTTCCTCCTCCTCCCCCTCCTCTTTCACTTCCCTTCGTCCCCTTCCTCTCTTCCCTTCCTCTCGCTCTTTACCTTCCTCTCATTACTCCTTCTTCCCTTCCTCTCTTTCCCTTCCTTCCTCTCTTTCCTCCTCTCTTTCCCTTCCTCTCTTCCCCTTCCTCTCTTCCTTCCCTCTTCCTTTCCCTTACTCTCTTCCTTCCTTCTTTCCCTTCTCTTCCCTCCTCTTCACCTTCCTCTCTTCCCTTCCTCTTTCCCCTTCCTCTCTTCCCTTCCTCGCTTTTCCCAGTTTCCCCTTCGGGTCCCCTTCCTCTCTTCCGCCCTCGTCTCTTCCCTTCCTCGTCTTCCCTCCTCTCTTCCCTTCCTCTCTTTCCCTTCCGCTCTTCCCTTCCTCTCGTTCCCTCTCTCCTCCGGTCCTCTCGTCCTCCCTGTCCCTTCCCCTTTCCCCTTCCCTACTTCCCTTGCAGTGCCTCTTGTGCCCGTCCTCGCTCCCCTTCCCTCTTTCCGTACCATTGTCCCTCTCTTGTCCCTTCCTCCTGCCCCTCTTCACGCCTCCGTCTACTTCCCGGCTTGCCTCTCTTCCTGGTCCGTCATCCTTTGCACCGTCCTCGACGTTCCGACCGTCCTACTCTTCCCCTCACTCTCCCTTGCCCTCTGCATTCCGCTGTCCCTCTGCTCCCCTTCCAGCGCTTTCCCTTCCTCTACTTCGCACACTCTCGCCCTTCCCTTGCCGCTATCCTGCTCATTTCCCTTCAGCTCCTTTCCCCTGCGCTACTTTACCCGTCCTCTTCCCTATCCCTTCGACTCGTCTTACCCGAGTCCTCATGCGGTTCCGATCACGAGCATCCCTGCTTCCCCTTCCTCTCTGCCTATACCTCTCACGTTTCCCTTGCCCTCTTCCCTCTTCCCCATTCCTCTCTCCCACGTGCCTCGTCTTTGACCCTCGCTTTCCCACTGCCTCTTTCACTCTCAGCAGGACATTCCCTTCCACTCTGTTCCTAGTACCTACTCTTCCCCTTCTCTCGTTGCCCCTTGCCCTCTCTGTGCACCTACCCTCCTTACGCCGATTCCTCTCTAGTGAAGAGATCAAAGTTGAAGAGAGAAAAGGAAGAGAGGAAGGGAAAGGAAAAGGGAAAGGAGAGATGTGGAAGTGGAAAGGAGAGGAAAGAGAGGGAGAGAGGAAAGAAAAGCGAAGGGAAATGTGAAAATGGTTCTGTCAGTGTGCTTGTCTCCTATGTGGGGTCAAGTTGCAGAGTTTGGCCTGAGATATGAGCAGTTGTGTGTGTGTGTGTGTGTGTGTGTGTGTGTCAGTGTTTGTCTCGAGTCCGGTCTCAAGACCACATATTGAGTGTCTCGGTCTTGACTCGGTCTCAGACAATGAGGACTTCCTTCCCGAGACCAGCCGACACCAGCGGAGTCATAAACTCATAATTATCAGCTTCCATTTAGTCGGTGCATAAAACCACTTCGCTTTAGCTCAGACAATTAGACAGCTAAGTTGGGCCGTAGGGGACCTCTGTCATTTCTTTTATTCCATGTATGTGTGTTTGGTGTTTGACTCTGTGAGTATTTATGTGTGTCTGTGTTTTATTTAATCTGACCTCATTCCATATACCAAGGGTTAAATGGCATCAGGTTCAAGTACTACACTCTTAGAAAAAAGGGTTCCAAAAGGGTTATTTGGCTGTCCCCATAGGAGAACCCTTTTTGGTTCCAGGTATAACACTTTTTGGTTCCAAGTATAACTTTTTTGGGTTCCATGTAGAACCCCCTGTGGAAAAGGTTTTACATGGAACCCAAAAGGGTTCTACCTGGAACCAAAAGGGTTCTACCTGGAACCAAAAAGTGTTCTTCAAAGGATTATCCTATGGGGACAGCCGAATAACTATTTTAGGTTCAAGATAGAAGAGTGTAGTACTGATACACAGCTCTGTCCACTGTCTAGCTTGATTAATACTTCACAGCTACAGGTTAGATGTAGCCTAGTGCTGTTAGGCTGTACTAGCAGTGTGAATTTGTAAGTCACATCTTTGTAGTGAAAATAACACAACATTAATCCACAAACTAGACATCTGTATGGCTTTTATCCAGACTAGCATATCATACAAGACAAACACTTTTAGACAGCACAGAGATGAATGTAGAACTGAATATTGTCATGAGAGATGGGAAAATCCTTAGATGAGTCTGGCCCAGCTGAATGTGCACAGTCATCTCAGTCAGTCAGTCAGTCAGGAAACAGACACACAAACACATGGCGTACACCCTAAATTCCCACTGCTCCGGATCCTGCAGTAACACATACACAAGCCAAAGAGTGTCTGTGTGTGTGTGTGTGTGTGTGTGTGTCTGTGTGTGTGTGTGTGAGTATGTGTGTATGTGTGTGTGTGTCTGTGCGTGTGTGTGTGTCTGTGTGTGTGTGTTTGTGTGTGTGTGTGTGTGTGTGTGTGTGTGTGTGTGTGTGTGTGAGGGATCATCCAACCAGACAAGACAAATGGCTTGCAGCAGGAAGCGAAGAGTAAACATAAATATGATGAAGACGATGACTGAGGAGTCCTAGGGTGATACCATTGCCTAATCCCCCCCACCATCTCCCCCTGCCGCCTTATGTGTGATCTCCCTGGTAAAGTGATCACTGTGGCGATAGGGCCGGGGTCTAATAAGAGCAGAGTAAACACAGATGTTGATGTTGTTGTTGTGCCAGGCAGCTGAAGGCCGAGGGCAGACACCAGAACTAGGTTATTATGATTCTACGACAAGCTGTTTCTCTTTAGAACATAATGATCAGATGGCCCTAGTGCAGTAGTGTTTGTGTGTGTGTGTGTGTGTGTGTGTGTGTATGGTAGAGAGGCCCCACCCAAGGGGTTAGGGCTAGACCTAAGCTGCTCCCCAGTTTGTGTGTTAACTGTATATGGCAGAGGTCATAGCCCTTTCCTCCAGTCAAATGACCTAGTGGCCTCATGGGTGGAATGTTATTAATATTTTTCATAATTAATAAATATTATTTCAAAAAAGATGCCGAAAATCCGGTGTTTCTATGTCAAATGGTTTTGTTATATTTCAGTCATCTGTGATGTATATAAAGTGTCATATTGGAATGCAAACTCAAAATTGAATACATTTCAACTCTATATCATACATGGTACAGGTGTCTTCTTTTTTTTAAGCCCATAACCATGTGTGTGAGGTGTATACTTTAGTTTCAAAGTAGATTTGTTTAAGACTACCAAGAAACACTGTGTGACCCTGCAGTAAAAGGTTAAACTCAAGTTACCTGGGGGCCAATTTATAGCGGCCAGTATCTCTTTCATGGGAGTATTGCTTTTTTGCACAATACCTTATTCTATTACCATGTTCTTTATTCCGTATCAGTACCTTAGTAAATGACCTGACATTAACCCTCCACTCTCTCCCCCCCTCTACAGACAGTAAGGCCATCGTGGATGGGAACCTGAAGCTGATCCTGGGTCTGATCTGGACTCTGATCCTGCACTACTCCATCTCTATGCCCATGTGGGAGGACGAGGACGATGAGGATGCCAAGAAGCTGACCCCCAAGCAGAGGCTGCTGGGATGGATACAGAACAAGGTGCCCCAGCTGCCCATCAACAACTTTCACCGTGACTGGAGGGACGGCAAGGCACTGGGAGCCCTGGTCGACAACTGTGCTCCAGGTAAGAGCTGATCCAGGATCTGTGACTCATTCTGTTGTTAGACTCTGCTGGTTAATAGGCTTGGAGCTGACTCATAAACAGTTAAGTCTTAGTTCATGTGACTGGATGGACGGCAAGGCCCTGGGAGCACTGATTGACAACTGAGCCCCAGGTAAGGCCTTGAGGAGCAGTTTGAGTGCAGATCGTCCATCTGTAAGAACTGTAAGATCCAAGATCTGCGCATGATACGTTTCATTTGTTGACAATAGTCCTCCAGGTTGTAACTGATTTGAGAGCTGTTTTAGGGTTGATTAATCGTCAGTAGTATTCACTGAAACAGTACACTAAACACTAAACAGCCATAATTCCAAGTATGTGTCACAGAGAAGTTCCAGAGAAACTCCAGTTATTTATTGTATTTTTGAAACGGTCTTGTTGAAGCACTAAGCCTAATTATTCCAGGTCAGGGGTAGGGAGTATGTACTGTATGTTCAGGGCTGACTGACTGGGAGCCTTGGTTGATGACAATGAGAATGTTTGTTTATTTTTGGAATGTTCTGTGGGTTGGTGGTAGAGCTTATGGTGCAGGGGCTACCACAGAGCATGACATCACTGAGAAAATCCTATTCAGGGTGGGGATGTGGGCACAAAGTATGAATGGGTGTGGCCAAAAAGCATACAAGCTGCATTCAACAAGCAATATTCCTTTAATTGCTTGAACTGCACCACTTCACATCAGAGAAGGGGAGACCTAGGGGAACCAGAATGGGACGTGTGTCCACCCTCTGCTCCCACTATGACCCCTAACCGATATCCCAACTCTTAATCAGAACCAGCCTTTTCTTCATTATAAAACAATCTGATGAGAGAAGAACGAGGGAGAGAGAGAGGAGGAGAAGGAGGAGGAGGAGGAGGAGGAGGAGGAGGGGAAGGAGTAGGAGGAGGAGGGGGGAATGAGTAGGAGGAGGAGGGGGGAGGAGGGGGAGGAGGGGGAGGAGGGGGGGGGGGGGGGGGGGGGGGGGGGGGGGGGGGTTGGGGAGGGGAGGGGAGGAGGGGGAGGAGGATTTTTAAAATCCCCAAACCACAGAGAGATAGATAGTGCATAGCCTGTAATTACAGATCAGGGTCGTCAGGGCCTAGCCAGGGGGACTTGCCTGACAACTGCCCTAGATAGAGTGACCCCCACTGGGGAAGGTTTCATAACTGTAGCCCTAGGCTTGTCTCTTTCGGTGAAGGCCTCTACTAATTTGGACTGGGTTCCTGGCAGGCAGTGGGTCTTTCAAAGACATGGGTCCAAGGGGAACCCCAATTGACCTTGGGTTAGTAGACACGTCTTGTTCAACAGAGCCACTAATCCTGTGTTAGTACAAACGGTGTGAGACCAGATGCGTGGAATGACTGGGCATTAATATGTTCACAGAGTTAGTTACTCCAGAGAAATGAAACAAAGAACTGAGGTGCACTGTCTTTTTGTTTACTGAGTGTGTGTGTGTATAGGTGTTGTCTTTTGTAGGTGTGTGAGTGTGCGTGTGTGTGTGAGAGAGCCAATGTGTGAATGTGTGTGCTTTATTTGTTTTCATGTGCTTGCATGCTTCTGAGTGTGTGTTTATGTGTGTTTGTGTGCATGACAAAGTGTGTTTACTAAGGCAGGAAGTTGAGAAGTGTGTTGGAGAGAGGCTAAGTTGGCGGAACAAATAAACAAACAATGACTCCATTCTCCCCCAAACTGAGCCTGCCTAATTCACTTACCTAGCGCAGCGGGGTCACAGAGCAGGTGTGTGTGTGTGTGTGTGTGTGTGTGTGTGTTTGTGTCTGTGTCTGTGTACATTTATGTTTTTCAGGGTGTGTGTGTAATAGTGTGTGTGTTTATGGTCTAGGTGTCTGTGTTAGTATTGTTGACACTGCTGATACACAGAGCTCTGTCTCTGACACTGAGCAGGACTAAGTAGCAGGTTTTATTCTAGGCTTTGACCATACAGGGCTCTGTTTCTCTCTGCTCTCACTAAAACATTCATACTGATAGATCCAGAACAAGCTATACACTCACAGTACACACAGCATTAGGGCTAAGGGGCAATTCTCTCACATTCTCTTGCAGTGCCACCTCTGCCTATATGCAGACTATGAACTGCCACTAGGCCCCCCCAGGCACGCAAGGCACGTGCTCAGGGGCCCTGACCTCCAGGGGGCCCCCATTGATTTTGTTAGTCACTCATAATTCATAGCAAATTCGTTGAATCACATGAAATTAGTTTTAAAACGGCTACATTTTCTCTCTGCCACATGGAAACATTTGAGGAATTGCAGAAGATTTGCTTTAAAACTGCCACATTTTTCTATATGTGTAGAATTGCAGGAAATCAACATTAAAGCTGCACATCTTTCTCTCCACCGCCAAGAGGGGGACCAGTGAAATGTTTTGCCCGTGAGGGCCCCCCAACCAAATATTGCTTAGGGCCACCAAAATGCTCTTGTCAGCACAAAATGTTACATTCAGGACCATTCACCCATTAGCAAGAAATGTGAAATATACAGTTGAGCATTAAAACAAAACATTGCACTTGTCTTTTCCTTCTAGCACTGACTTTGCTGATAACTTCTTTATTGAGGAAAAATATACTTACTACGATTGTGATATGTTGTTGTCTCACTTAGCTATCTTAAGATGAATGCACTAACTGTAAGTCGCTCTGGATAAGAGCTAATTGACTGAAATGTCAATGTAAAATATAATAACTGTTTTGGGTGGAACTCAAACTGCTCTCAGACCTGCTAGACAACTGCGTAGCTAATTAGTCCTGACACCTCGAGTTCCCCTGGTTCAGCCAAAGCCGTTCCCCGCAAGGCGCTGGACATGGGTGTGCTGCAGGCTGCCAGTGGGTTTCTGGCTGTTGTAACAGCATGGAGAGTGTCAGAGTAGAGAACACAGCAGGGAGGAACGCAATAAGTGAAAACACATGTAGCGAGCCGCATTTCCTGCCAAACACATTATTGTGTGTGTGTGTGTGTGTGCTCATGTATGTTGTTAAGGAGCAACAGGAACAGGGCAGAGGCCTCTCTGTTAGAAGTAAGGGTGGACAGTAAAACAGTGAAAGTAAAGCGTATTGTCCGTAGAAGTAAATTAAGGAAAGGTTTGCTCATGCCTTGAGTCCATGTCTTGTCCTTCAGTGTATTTACACTAGAATACAACAATACGTCAGGACTAAGCAACAGGGAACAGAGAGGGTTAGACACAAATGCATGCACAAACGCACACACACACACACACACACTCACACACACACACACACACACACACGATTCCACAGCAAAGTTAACACAGCATCATATCCTGAGGTTGTTCACCTCTCCTCAAAGTGAAATGTTACTCATCAGATTTTTACCCGACACACCCCTCTATCCACCCCCGCTGAATGACTCTCTCTCACCCTCACACTGCCTGGTCACAGACCCCCCAGGGCCAGTAAATCACACCTCAGCCCAACAGAGGCACATTAAACAGGTATGAGTTGGTTGAAAAAGGTACTAGTTTCTACTACTGCCCAGCTGTAGAGGGTTGATTAAACATAATGACCCATCTTGAGTATCACTGTGTGTGTGTGTGTGTTTATATATGTGTGTGCGTGTGAATTGTGTGTATGCATGTGTGTGTGTGTGTGTGTTTATGGAACACAAACAAATATGAGGGTCAGGTACAGCTCTTTGGCAGTGTGGGAGAATGCTTTTGGGGGTTTATGTTCCTCTCCTGTTAGTTTTTCAACCACCCCCTAGAGCCCCCTCACTCTCTGCCATGTATTTGTTTAGTATCCTTTTGCCTCACACCTCTGTTTTCATACGGCTCCTGGCAGTAGTGGGGTTTGCGCAAGGAAGCCACCCTGAGCTGTGAACATTCTAGATGGAACTGCAATAGAGACAGCCATGACAGCTAATGAGACTTAGGGAAAATGTATTGCCATGTAGTGGGGTGGGAGAAACAACAGTAAAAAACACCAAACCACTCTGTCACATTGAGTAGTGCTGAGCCCTCTCTCCCGTTCCAGTCAGTGGATACAGCCTGGTCTCATAGACTAGACGTAACATAGTAAATGTAAATCCGGGACACTCAAATTAGTTTTATACTGTATGTTATGGGGTGGATGGGTGGGCTTACAACGCGAATATCTAGGAACCCAAAGGTTTCGTGTTCAAATCTAATCATGGACAACTTTAGCAACCTTCAACTACTTACTACTTTTTAGCTACTTTGCAACTACTTGCCAAGTTAGCTAACCCTTCTCCTAACTCTAACCTTAACCCTTTTAGCTAACCCTTAACCCAACCTTAATCCTAACCCCTAACCCTAACCCCTAAACTTGCTAATGTTAGCCAGCTAGCTAACGTTAGCGTTAGCCACTTAGCCACAACAAATTTGAATATCATACGTTTTTCAAATTCGTAACATATAGCACGTTTCGCAAATTTGTAACATATCATACGAATTGTAATTCGTAACATATCATATGAAATGGATGATGGACATCCACAAATTAATACATACATTTACATTTTAGTCATTTAGCAGACGCTCTTATCCAGAGCGACTTACAGTTAGTGAGTGCAAACATTATTATTATTATATATATTTTTCATACTGGCCCCCCGTGGGAATCTAACCCACAACCCTGGCGTTGCAAACGCCATGCTCTACCAACTGAGCTACATCCCTGCCGGCCATTCCCTCCCCTACCCTGGACGACGCTGGGCCAATTGTGCGCCGCCCCATGGGTCTCCCGGTCGCGGCCGGCTACAACAGAGCCTGGATTCGAACCAGGATCTCTAGTGGCACAGCTAGCACTGCAATGCAGTGCCTTAGACATACCATATGAAATGTAACATATCATACTAAATGGAGTGTCTCGGATATACGTAGAGAATAATACGAAATGCTTTGAGACCAGGTTGGTGGATAGAGAACTGTGTAGTGATGACACTCTTCTGTGTTTGTGTGTCATCTGAGGCTTCCTACATCTTTCATCCTCACATCACTCCCTGATAATCCTATAAGCTGCATTGTTATAGTGTGTGTGTGTGAATATGTGTGTGTCAGCTTTGTTCAGAGTGACCCACAGTCGGACATCAGGAAATAAGTAACTCACCGCTCTCTAAGAATTGACCAGCTCACTCTTGCTTGTCCCTACTGTAGAGGCAAAGTATTGCGGATAAACATGGTTTGGCAGTTGTTGTCATGAAGATAGTGAAACGTAGTGGATGGAGCTATGTTGATTCTCTGTGTACTGTTGTCCCATGACTAAATGCTCCCTCGCTCCCCTCTCTCTCCCTCCCTGTCATGTAGGCCTGTGTCCTGACTGGGAGACGTGGGATCCTAGCCAGCCTGTGGAGAATGCCAGGGAGGCCATGCAGCAGGCTGACGACTGGCTCGGAGTGCCCCAGGTAACATCACCACACCACCTACACTCACATTCACTCCTGGTCTCACCTGGTTTAGTTCACATAACCTGAACTCATCCGTACTAGTTAAACTCATATAGTTAACACTCATCTAGTTAAAGTCATCTAGTTAAAGTCATCTAGTTAAACTCAAATCCACATAATTGCTTTAGACTCAGTTACTCTGAGGCAACTGGCTTCAGTGGTAAACAGCAGGGCAATCTTTGGAAAGACTTTACAGCTTAAAGGTTGGTAAAATGTATTGTGATATATTTATAAATGCACTGTAAGACTTGTCATAAGCATGTATGATCAATCTGTTCTTTGAGTGTGAGTTGGAGTTGGAGTTGGAGTGGGTGGGTGTTTCCCAGGAGTCATTCCACAGCCCGTCTCCTTTAGCCCAGGTGGTCCGTTAGAGGTCATGACAGGGTTTGAGTGACAGCCAGATAAACAGGATGTAGGGGGCGTGTCCCTCTCTGTCTGAACATCATATTTACAGACAGCTCTGCTGGTGACCATTCTGGTCTGATCCGGTCTGAACAGAGTAAGCTGGAGCTCAGGGCTGTTATGTTTGTTGGCCACATAGGCCTATGTGGATAAGTGTATGTGGGATTGTGTTCAGCTTGTTTCTTCAGTATGTGGTTGTGGAGGTACATTGGCATGCTGCTGTACTGGACTGGGTCTTGGAGAGAGGAGAGGCCAGGTTGGCATCAGGTTGGCTGGATTCTGAAGAGGCGAGGCTGGGTTAACCAATGCCACAACCAGGACCACTGGAGCATGTTCATATGAAACCACAAACTGTCACACACTAGTCTATAGCACTTCTAAATTCTAAGATGGAAAACATGAACAGAAACTCTATATTCCCTGTGTTTTATCGTGTCAATAAGTATTTCTTTCAATGTATTAATTGGCCAAAACATTAGTTACCACTAGCTGAAACAACCTTCTGCTCCTTAGTCAATGATTTTAATACAGACCAAGGAAACCTGCAACTCTCTATAGAGAAATGAGGGGAGGAGAGAGAAGGCAGATATATGGCGGCATTAATATTAGGGATTAGGAGGATTGGTGAGACCATGATGGGCCTTGCTATTTTCTGAAGCTGTTCTTAATAAGTGTATGCATGTGTATAGAGGAGGGAGCGTGTGTGTGTGTGTGTGTGCACGTGTGTGTTTTTGTGTGTGTGTGTATGTTGTATTTGAGCTTATATGGGAGGGTCCAGTCCATCACTGTATGGCAGAAATGGGGCAATCCCAGCATGCTTGGAGCCCCGGGTCACATGGTGGGAGTAACAAGGTCGTGGGACGTGTTTACATCTTGAACAACTGAACCAGGATCAGCTCTTGATACCCCTGTCTAACCTTAAACATTGTGATCCCCAAAACACCACTGACCCTGTATCAGTAGAGGAACACACAGAGAGTAGCATAATGGTTAACGCAGCGAGTGGCCATGCTAAATAATGGCTGGTCTATTTTCAGGCTCGCCCCCTGGCCCTACACCCAAGGGTTAAATATAGCCAGAAAACCCTCTGACACCCCTCAGAGAGAGAGAGAGAGAGAGGGATCCACATGGATGACTGTAAAGAGAAAGAGAGACTATTAGAAAGGGAGAAAATATGCCATTTTGACACAATGGAATGCACAGCATGATGCAAGCTGGTTCAGATCAACATTCTCAGTCTGAAAACAGAGAACCTGTTGACAGACCCTTTAACAAGGTTGGGAAAGTCCTGAAGTCATTTTGCCAAACTCATTATATATTCTGCCCATGAGGATTGGTTTAAGATATGATATCAGCATAATACATTGGGAGTAGAATACCTATAGTAAGAGTCTGTGTATGTATGTATGTATGTATGTATGTATGTATGTATGTATGTATGTATGTATGTATGTATGTATGTATGTATGTATGTATGTATGTATGTATGTATGTATGTATGTATGTATGTATGTATGTATGTATGTATGTATGTATGTATGTATGTATGTATGTTTGTATGTATGTATGTACAGGTATGTATGCCTGAAGCAGTGGCACCTCTAGCATGTACAGCCTGTTTCCTCTCAGAGCAACAAACCCTGTGGGTATGTAGGTTTATTAACTGCAAGTCGCTCTGGATAAGAGCGTCTGCTAAATGACTAAAATGTAAATGTAATGTAAAAATGTTTTAAATTAGCATGTGTGTGTGAGAGTATGTGAGTGTAGGTGAGTGTGTGTGTGTTTCCACCTGTAAGTCCCCGTGTTGTAGTTGTGTATAATTAGGGACTCCATTATCCAGAGGGCTATTTAAACACAGACATTTCATGTGCCTAACAGCTGCTGCAGAACTTTACATCTCTCTCTCTCTCTCTCTCTCTCTCTCTCTCTCTCTCTCTCTCTCTCTCTCTCTCTCTCTCTCTCTCTCTCTCTCTCTCTCTCTCTCTCTCTCTCTAATATTTATATTTTTCCTTACATCTCCCCCCTTTTGTCCCCTCTCTTTCTTTCTCTATCTCATTTCCATCTCTTTCCTCACATGTTCAAAGTCTCTCATTGTCCTGCTCTCTCCTCCCTCCTCTCCCTCTGCTCTCTCCTTCCTCCTCTCCCTCTGCTCTCTCCTTCCTCCTCTCCCTCTGCTTTCTCCTTCCTCCTCTCCCTCTGCTTTCTCCTTCCTCCTCTCCCTCTGCTCTCTCCTTCCTCCTCTCCCTCTGCTTTCTCCTTCCTCCTCTCCCTCTGCTCTCTCCTTCTCCTCCCTCTGCTCTCTCCTTCCTCCTCTCCCTCGGCTCTCTCCTTCCCCTTCTCCCTCTGCTCTCTCCTTCCTCCTCTCCCTCGGCTCTCTCCTTCCCCTTCTCCCTCTGCTCTCTCCTTCCTCCTCTCCCTCTGCTCTCTCCTTCCCCTTCTCCCTCTGCTCTCTCCTTCCTCCTCTCTCTCTCTCCTTTCCCCACTTCTCTCTACTCAAACGTCACTCCTGTAGCTCACTCTAGCTCCACATAGATGAAATGTCTTTCTCAATAAAACACTGATTACATTAAACCACTCCAACATGATTTCCTGGTGGCATTTCTCGCTTTTCTATCCCCTCTCTCCTCCACTGCGATCATAAGGAAAACACATTGTGATGTTGGACAATACAAATAGCCTTTAATTCCATCAGAGCTGCTGCTTTTGATTCCACTGCCCTGGTTTTCTGAGTCATTTTACCAGTCTGTAGTTTTACATCAACTTTACAGGCAGACGAATAGCCTCATTAGGCACTATGTCTATTTAATGTATTCCTTTGATGTGCTTTCAATTACCTCTTTATCCTCGGGTTAGTAGTTATTAATACAATATTTATTATAATGTTATTAAATCATGCTTTGATTGTGTGTTAGGAGAAACAGGAAGTGATGTGATAACCTTTTACCCCTTTGTTTGCGACACCTCTTCCAGTCCCCCTCTTCTTATTAAATCAGGCTTTGATTGTGTACAGAGAGAAAGAGGAAGAGAGAGGCCCAACTTTGTGGAAAATCTGTCTCCCTCCAGCAGGAGGCGTTTTTTTGTTGTTTCGCCTATCAAGCAAGGAGTTTTTGTGTGGAGGTCAATGAGAGAGTGTAAACTTTTGTCAACCAAAAAAGTTAATGGCTTGTTTTCTTGGTGAGGTTTATTTGATCAAATAGAAGTTTCATAATGCTTAAGTTGTTTTGAGTGTACTGATATAAGTAGGACATGTGACATCCCGTCAACTTAGAGAAAAAACACTTTATATCGGAGTTGTCTCGAGACGGCAATGCATATTCATGGTATGAGTCTAGTAGCGTAGCCTCTCTCTCCATTGAATACAGGTGGTTGAAGTCAACAACCCTCATCGAATATTCAAAAAAGGATTACATTAATGAGATATACCCACCAATCCAAATAAAGGATAGGCGGGAGCTAGACAGCCCTCCATGCCGCTTTGTGGACAACGACTCCCATTGTTAGGGCGGAGAGACATGTATCTTGTCAGTATATCCATAATCTTTGTTGTGTATTAAGAGAAACAGGAAGTGATGATAACCTTTGACCCTGTGCACCGTCTATTGTCTTCCCCCTCTCTGTAGGTGATAGCCCCTGAGGAAATAGTGGATCCCAATGTGGACGAGCACTCGGTGATGACCTACCTGTCCCAGTTCCCCAAATCCAAGCTGAAGCCTGGTGCCCCGCTGCGCTCCAAGACTCTGCACCCCAAGAAGGCCAAGGCTTACGGACCAGGTGAGAGAGAGAGACCGGGATTGTAACAAATGACCTCCTTCAAAGCATCTTTAACTTCTTTATCTATAAATAAATTATCTGGGCTCCCGAAAGGACTGACCTCTATAATATATAAACAACTTTTGGAAAGCTCATATTCTGAGCTAGCTATTAAAAATGGTGGTCCACAGAGCCAAACCTAACACTATCTGCCAATAAATTTTAAGCAATATTGCCCCTGTCTGTCTGCGTGGGGTGTGTGTTTGTGTCTATCACTCCTTGTGTGGCCAGTTGATGTGATAACTGTCTTGTGGGTTGACATAAATACTTTCCCCAAAACCTTCTCAATTAAATGTTAACTGCAAAGTAAGCTTACCTGGCAGAAGTATATCATGAGTAAGTATATCATTTATATCTATTATTTGTTATTTGCAAACGTTGCCATGAAAATTATTTAAATTATGTATTATTTAAAACAATATACAGTGGGGAGAACAAGTATTTGATACACTGCCGATTTTGCAGGTTTTCCTACTTACAAAGCATGTAGAGGTCTGTAATTTTTATCATAGGTACACTTCAACTGTGAGAGACGGAATCTAAAACAAAAATCCAGAAAATCACATTGTATGACTTTTAAGTAATTCATTTGCATTTTATTGCATGACATAAGTATTTGATACATCAGAAAAGCAGAACTTAATATTTGGTACAGAAACCTTTGTTTGCAATTACAGAGATCATACGTTTCTTGTAGGTCTTGACCAGGTTTGCACACACTGCAGCAGGGATTTTGGCCCACTCCTCCATACAGACCTTCTCCAGATCCTTCAGGTTTCGGGGCTGTCTCTGGGCAATACGGACTTTCAGCACCCTCCAAAGATTTTCTATTGGGTTCAGGTCTGGAGACTGGCTAGGCCACTCCAGGACCTTGAGATGCTTCTTACGGAGCCACTCCTTAGTTGCCCTGGCTGTGTGTTTCGGGTCATTGTCATGCTGGAAAACCCAGCCACGACCCATCTTCAATGCTCTTACTGAGGGAAGGAGGATGTTGGCCAAGATCTTGTGATACATTGCCCCATCCATCCTCCCCTCAATACGGTGCAGTCGTCCTGTCCCCTTTGCAGAAAAGCATCCCCAAAGAATGATGATTCCACCTCCATTCTTCATGGTTGGGATGGTGTTCTTGGGGTTGTACTCAGAAATAGAAAAAAAATATAGACCAAAAAGCTCTATTTTTGTCTCATCAGACCACATGACCTTCTCCCATTCCTCCTCTGGATCATCCAGATGGTCATTGGCAAACTTCAGACGGGCCTGGACATGCGCTGGCTTGAGCAGGGGGACCTTGCGTGCGCTGCAGGATTTTAATCCATGACGGCGTAGTGTGTTACTAATGGTTTTCTTTGAGACTGTGGTCCCAGCTCTCTTCAGGTCATTGACCAGGTCCTGCCGTGTAGTTCTGGGCTGATCCCTCACCTTCCTCATGATCATTGATGCCCCACGAGGTGAGATCTTGCATGGAGCCCCAGACCGAGGGTGATTGACCGGCATCTTGAACTTCTTCCATTTTCTAATAATTGCGCCAACAGTTGTTGCCTTCTCACCAAGCTGCTTGCCTATTGTCATGTAGCCCATCCCAGTCTTGTGCAGGTCTACAATTTTATCCCTGATGTCCTTACACAGCTCTCTGGTCTTGGCCATTGTGGAGAGGTTGGAGTCTGTTTGATCGAGTGTGTGGACAGGTGTCTTTTATACAGGTAACGAGTTCAAACAGGTGCAGTTAATACAGGTAATGAGTGGAGAACAGGAGGGCTTCCTAAAGAAAAACGAACAGGTCTGTGAGAGCCGGAATTCTTACTGGTTGGTAGGTGATCAAATACTTATGTCATGCAATAAAATGCAAATTAATTACTTAAAAATCATACAATGTGATTTTCTGGATTTTTGTTTTAGATTCCGTCTCTCACAGTTGAGTGTACCTATGATAAAAATTACAGACCTCTACATGCTTTGTAAGTAGGAAAACCTGCAAAATCGGCAGTGTATCAAATACTTGTTCTCCCCACTGTATATATTTATACAACTTTTTTTATGGGGGATTGGAAATGATGCAGACAATTATGTTGATAGAAGCCACAATCTATTTGCAATATTAAAGCTGATCCCCACCCCCCCCAAAATGCTTTCTTTGCCATGAAATGAGCAGCAGCAGTACAGAACCATCCATCGCTGGACAGACACATTAGGTGGCACATTCCTCACTCGCAATTAAAGGGCCAGATGCACAATTAAAGGGGAGTTACACTCAAAAATAAAAAAAATAGTTTTCTTCCTGACCAATATTTTTTTTCAGAATGTGATTTAACCATAGATATGGACTCAGAACATGCAATTTCGTTGTTTCTCTATTAACCATTTTAATTTTGAGAGTAAAAAACTATCTAAAATAAGGAAAACTCAAACGGAGAAAGCATAATTTAGGAAAAAATCTCCGATTTTATAGGGCCCCCCTTAGAGTTGTTTATTAACCATTATTTTACTAGGTATATTGAGAGACAACATAGTGCACTACTTTCTCTTGTACACTAAGGACCCGGGGTTGGATGGAGACATGTTGGTTGGGTGGGGTTGGGGGAATGGGATGGGAGGTTGGGGGTGGAGGCCCACTTGTTTTTTATTTTCTTATTCTGTTTATACTGAATGTATTATTACTTAAACTCTGTATGTATTTCTTAGTGGTTTCTTTTCTTCTTTTGAGTGGCAGCCTACGGGTATATGTTTTATAAATGTATAATTTGAAATGTACAATGCACCCCCCCCAACAAAAAATAACTAAACAAATAAAATGTTGGTAAAAAAACATACTTCGTTAACATTCTACATCTTCTAAAGGCTCAATAGCCCAAAGGCCTTCTGGTTTATACTGTATATTAGGTGCAAGAAAGATGTCAACATTATTGTTGAAAAGGAAGGTGTTTCATCCTGTTTGCACCTGTCAGCACAGAGTAAGTGACAGAGGGCTCTCACATCTAGTTCTTTACTCCTGCTTACTGTCTCCATCCTTTTCCCCGTCAGGTATTGAGCCCAGAGGTAACATGGTGCTGAAGCCGGCTGAGTTCATCGTGGAGACAGTGGAGGCGGGGCTAGGGGAGGTGCTGGTCTACGTGGAAGACCCAGAGGGACACACAGAGGAGGTGGGGCACATTTACTCACATTAACCCTTAACTCCTCGTTCCGTTATTCCTCCCCCCTGGAGTTGCTGTTCATTTGCCCACACAGTTCTTCACATCCATCTTATATCTCTCCCATCTCACCCCTCTCTTTCTGTTCCAGGCCAGAGTGATCCCCAACAACGACAAGAACAGGACCTACTCTGTCATCTACCTGCCCAAAGTGGAGGGCCTTCACAAGGTAACATGTATCTCAGTTTTTAAACTTCAATATTATGGGATTTCCTCCAGCGGTCTAACAGGGGTCTATGCATGTTCCTCTCCCCAGGTGAAGGTGCTGTTTGCTGGGCAGGACATAGACAGGAGTCCCTTTGTGGTGAGTGTGTCCAAGGCCATGGGAGACCCCAACAAGGTGCAGGCCAGAGGACCAGGACTGGAGCCTGTAGGCAACGTGGCTAACAAGGCTACCTACTTTGACATCTACACAGCAGGTAACACACACATACACATCTGGGGAGGACCATGTTCATGGTATGGAAGTAGACACTCTATCTACCTTTCCTATAGAAATCACCTAGTTTCGTCAATAGGGTTGTAAGTAAATCTAAGGATCTTTTAGAATTATCAGAAGCTTTGCAATACTAGCTGAGGTTCATTCCTTCAATCATGATGACAAAGTACGTTTATGTATTTGTTCTCTCTAATGTCCTTCAGTGTTACGCCAATTTCTGTCCCCTGAGCACACAGTATAAGGTGTTAGTACATCTCTTTTTGTCCCCAGGTGCTGGTGCTGGAGATGTGGGTGTGATCATCGTGGACTCCCAGGGCAGAAGAGACACTGTGGAGATCATTCTGGAAAACAAGGGGGACAGTATCTTCCGTTGCACCTATGGCCCTATCCTGGAGGGGCCTCACATTATCTATGTGACGTTTGCTGGGCAGCAGATACCCAGAAGCCCTTTCACCGTCCACATCTCAGAGGGTAACACACACACACACACACACACTACACACACACACACACACAGACACAGATTTAGTTGATTGTACTGATTTGTTACAGTAATCCACTATCTGACTCCCTCCCTCTCTTTCTAATCTGAGTAATATTGAGTTTTAATGTCTAGACTGACCTCACTACTAAACATTTGATCTCCATAACTGACAGTGATATCCTGCCATAACAGACAGGCCACCGGCATGGTCTGAAGTTTTTTGGGTTCTTCTGAAAAGTGTTGGGTTAGGGTTGGTGAACTCTTGGTTTGCGGGAAGACTCTGGATGGGTTCTGAGTGTTGGGGCGGCAGGGTTCTAAGCTGTGGGTTCTGGTGGTTCTCCAGAGTGACCCTGTCCTGTTCCTGCGTGTGTGTCATGTCGTTGTTGTTCCTCCATGCAGCTCCACCGAGCGCCCTGCCCCCCGGCTCTCCGGTGCAGATAGTGCCCCAGTCCATACGCACCCCACCCACAGACAAGGCCAAGAGAGTGCCCCCCCCAACACCGCCCAAACCCAGGCGACCAAGTTAGTACAGGCCTGCCCGTGGAGGAGAGACCGGAGCCTGCCTGCGCTAGCCTGGTCCCCCCTAAACTCAAAACTACACCCCCAACCCCCTCGACGCACCGCACCAGGGGGTCCCCAGCTTGATGGCATGTGCTGGCGCTTAGCCCTCTGTGGTTTCATCCCCCCTTCAACTCAGGCAGCTTCCAAAGAGAGAGAATGAGAGGGAATGAGTGAGTGTGTAACTGAAAGAGGAAATGAAAGGATGAGAGTGAGAGAATGCAAGAATGAAAGAAAATGAAGAGAGTGAATGAGAGAAAGAAATGCAGGTCCCCTTCATTTTAACAACAGAGGAAGCACCATCCATCTATGTGGTTGGCTGGTTTTGGACGGTCACCTTTACAGACGCTCAGCAGTTCTTCAACACACAGAGGTCACACACTTACAGTTCATCACCTCCTTCAAAAATAGGAGTACATTACAATTGGTTATCCAACATTGTTTTATTGCAATAATATTTGAATACTGGATATCAAAAAAGTTATCAAATAATCCCACACAAATTTATTTTTACCCAGTTTGTAGCTCACTTTGGCTCAATATCCTGTAACACGTGATTTTATTTCTTCCATGTGTGACGTTACATTTACTTGACGATTTACAACAGAACTAATGAGTAACAACACCCAGTAAATTAACATAAATATATTTTAACAAAAAACAGCACCATTTTTTAATGATAGATTCCCAATTAACTTTTTGATAACCCTGAAACAAACAATCCTGTTCAAGTCAAACAAAAATCGATTGTCTTAACCTTTGACCTTTGTTTCATTTGACGAGAGCGAACGTCAGTGTGACCGTCCAGACGTGTGTGAGTCTTACATACCTCATTACACTGTCTGCTCGTCATCCTCATCTTCATCCACCCCAGACCAAAGCAATGGCTCTGTGTTCAGTCAGCCATTTACAACCCATCTTTTCTGACTAACACTGAACATGCAAATGCTCCTCCATTTTTAGCTCCTTTTTAACCTGACATTTTTAAAAGCTTTTTCATAACATAACAAAACAATAACATTGTTTGTCTTCATAACCCATTTTAATAACAGCCTCTCTATAAATAAGTTTTCCATACATATATTTTTCTTTTTATTAAGTTATTTTATTACGTTTTTTTCCTTTTTTTCTTTTGGTCATTTATAAACTTAAGCGGTTTAAAATGATGACGAATTGGGAGAATTAGCTGGTTATTTCTTCCTAATTTGACAAAAATGCTTTCTGTGGCTAAGGCATTTTTACAGTCCTATTACAGCACTGGTCATTAGCTAATGGAAAGCCTGCAGCATCATAACTCAAAATGTTTTCATAGTTATGCTAGCTATATTTCTTTGGAATGTTTTTCCATCTAACTAGAGGTTCACCGTGTCACGTCATTGTATTCAAGCACATTGAAATTATTCCAGAAACCTTTCAACAAGTCTTTTTGTTTTCATTCTGCCAATCTTATCCATTTAAACCCAGTGTCTTACAGTAATCCCTCTTCGCTCTCTGTCTAGCTGTTCTGCAGATATATAACTCCTATTCAATGTCCATCTCTCCTGTTGCTTCCTCCCTGGCAGCCCATGTAGACTGTGCTTCATGCAGCACCATTCAACTGACTAACTAACAGCCAACCTCTGCAGCAGCCTGTGTGTGTATGTATCCTGTTATCTTCTTGTCTAACCCTGTTACCCCTCGGTGGTCCCACAGCCAGCAACCCCAACGTGTGCCGGGCCTCAGGGAGAGGCCTCCAGCCTAAGGGAGTGAGGGTGAAAGAGGTGGCTGACTTCAAGGTGTACACCAAGGGAGCCGGCAGCGGAGAGCTCAAGGTCACCATCAAGGGGCCAAGTGAGTGTGTGGATATGAATATAATTTGTCATATTGTTTATGACTTGCCACCACATTAATGTATTGGTTTCATAGGGGCATAAATAATCTTCATGAAATGTAATGGCTTTCAATGGTCTAGTTGTGATAGGAAGGCTACAGTATGTTGTGGCTAGCCTTTGACCTCTGAGCTGCTGTGTGTGACCCCCCAGAGGGAATAGAGGAGCCTGTGAAGGTGTGTGATGCGGGAGACGGGGTGTATGAGTGTGACTACTACCCCATCATGACTGGCAAATACACCATCACCATCACCTGGGGCGGACAGACCATCCCACGCAGGTGAAACCCTATCTTCCCCCTATTCTGCTGTGGGCACAACCACATGAAAGCTACAAAGGCAGTGGGCTGAACCATTACTGGCTTTCCAGGGGTTTCCTGGAAGGGCAGATGTTGAAATAACTTAAAGGAGCTGAAATGACCTGTAATAAATCATGTTATGAAGCGTACATTCCTGCATTCCTTGGAGGTTAATGGCCGAGGGGGAGGGGGGAGTGGAGGGGGATGGGGGGATGCCTGTTTGTATCTTTGTTGCCTGTGTATCACTGCTGACAGTCAATGGGGCTATAGAGGATTTCTGTTTGACTTGACCACCCCTGACTGTATGTGTGTCTATGTATGTATGTGTGTTTGTGTCTGCATTAACATGTGTGTGTGTGTGTGTGTGTGTGTTTCCTGCAGCCCGTTCGAGGTGGTGGTAAGTGAGGATGTTGGGCTCCAGAAGGTGAGGGCGTGGGGGCCGGGTCTGGAGACAGGCATGGTGGGGAAGTCAGCTGACTTTGTGGTGGAGGCCATCGGCACGGAGGTGGGAACTCTGGGTAAGTCTAGTCTGACAGTCGGCTGTTAGAACAGAAAGACCCAGGATAACGCTGCAGAATGCTCTCTCATTATTTTATTGGCCAGAGGGGATGGACTGTTTTCCATTTAAATTCTGGCATGACTGTCAGGCATTTCCAAGCACACGTACACACACACACACACACACACACACACACACACACACACACTGTCAAGCGCATGTGTACACACACACACACACACACTGGAGGCTGTCCGTAATTGTTAGCAGTTGGAGAGTTGGAGAGATTAAAGCCCACATTTTTGGGGTCACTTGTCACTGCAACCAACGCAAGGCCTGAGGGCTTCCTGTTCCTGTCACATGACCAGTCTGACCTGCCAGCTGAGGGAGGAAACTAAAGGTCATGACCCCTGATGATTCACCTCATCACAGTTATTATTTGAATTAAGATGAACTTACAACAAAACCAACCTGCCAATCTTTCTTAGTCTGTTGTCATCTATGCCTGTTTGTCTCTTTGTTGCCTGTGTATCTGTATCTGTGTGTGTGTGAGCTTGTATCTCTACCCACCTCTATATAATGTGTATCTATATCTCTCTCCCTGTCTCTGTCAATCCCCAGGTTTTTCCATCGAGGGCCCGTCGCAGGCTAAGATAGAGTGTGATGATAAGGGCGACGGGTCATGTGACGTGCGTTACTGGCCCACGGAGCCTGGCGACTATGCTGTTCACGTCATCTGTGACGACGAGGACATCAAGGACAGCCCCTTTATGGCCCACATCCTCCTCGCAGCCAATGACGTGTTCCCTGAGACGGTTAGACCCCACCCCTTCATATTTACCCCACCAGCCTGTAGAACGAGAATAATAAAGTGACGTAACAGTAAGAGAATGGTAACATACTGTAATAGTGACGTAATAATGACATAAAGGCTACATAAGGATGACATAACAGCATTATGAATGCCCTCTCCTTGCAGGTGAAGTGCTATGGTCCAGGTCTGGAACCTATTGGCTGCATTGTCAACAAACCAGCAGAGTTCACCATTGATACAAGTGGAGCCGGCAGGGGCCAGCTCAAGATTTACGCCCAGGATGCAGAGGGCTTCCCCATCGACATCCAGATCACAGAGAACGGAGACAGCACCTTCCTCTGTGTCTACATTCCCACCAAGCCCATCAAACACACCATTATTATCACCTGGGGAGAGGTCAACGTCCCCAACAGTCCCTTCAGGGTAAGACTGTCCACCCATCTATCATACTGTAGCCAAATACCAATTAGATCAGGGCTCTCCAACCCTGTTCCTGGAGAGCCAACCTCCTGTAGATTTTCATTCCAACCCCAGTTGTAACTAACCTGATTCAGCTTATCAATCAACTAATTGTTAGAATCAGGTGCGCTAGATTAGGGTTGGAGTGAAAACCTACAGGACGGTAGCTCTCCAGGAACAGGGTTGGAGAGCCCTGTGTTAGATACACATACAGTACGTACATACATCACTTACAGAATTGTATAGCAAATTCAGACTCATTTGCAATGATAGTATACAGCTTTGTACAATGTTACAGTACTAGTAATGCGTGTTCATTGCTGTGTGTATGTGTGTGTGTGTGTGTCAGGTGACCATCGGAGAGGGCAGCCACCCAGAGAATGTGAAGGTGTATGGTCCAGGTGTGGAGAAGTTAGGTCTGAAGGCTAACGAGCCCACCTACTTCACTGTGGACTGCAGCGAGGCAGGGCAAGGTGAGATACAACAAAGAAATAGAACACATAGAAGGGTCTTCACTATTCAACTTTGTAGCCAACAGTTTGAAACCTGAATGGGTGTTGTTGAGTGGGTTTTAGCACTGAAGAGTATTTTCTTGCCATCCACCTTCTCAATGTTAAACAATCTTACTTGCTTTTTCCACTCCAATTTTCACCCCCTTCCTGAATTCCCTAATCCTGGACCCCTTCACTCCCATTCCCATTCCTCAGGTGATGTCAGTATCGGCATCAAGTGTGCTCCCGGCGTGGTCGGCCCGGCGGAGGCCGACATCGACTTTGACATCATCAAGAACGACAATGACACGTTCACTGTGAAGTACATGCCCCCCGGCCCCGGACGCTACACCATCATGGTGCTTTTCGCTGATCAGGTGAGAGAAAGAGAAAGTGAAACTACACCGCCATTTTGGATTTTTAGCTCAGTTATTATGAAACCAAATAATAACAATGACCTTCCAACTTTGACCCTTGACACAGGAAATACCCATCAGCCCATTCAGGATCAAGGTGGACCCCTCCCATGACGCTAACAAGGTGAGGGCGGAGGGACCCGGACTCAACAAGACAGGTGAGACTTCTAGTAATCATGACAACAAGCCACCGACATGGCCGATAGATCAAAATCACATACAATAATGGTCCTCTGTAGCTCAATTGGTAGAGCATGGCGCTTGTAACGCCAGGGTAGTGGGTTCGATCCCCGGGACCACCCATATGTAAAAATGTAGGCACACATGACTGTAAGTCGCTTTGGATAAAAGCGTCTGCTAAATGGCATATTATTATTATTATTTATGCTAATAATGACCATAGAGATTCAAAACAATGGACATTAATGTCCAATTCTGGAGTTTTATTTAATTTGATGCTAATGACTGTTAATGCAGCTGATTAGTAGATTGGTTGAATTGATCATGAATGCCCCTCTGTGTGACAACGTCTAGGTGTGGAGGTAGGTAAGCCCACCCACTTCACCATCTACACCAAGGGAGCAGGCAAGGCCAAGCCTGAAGTGCACTTCACCGGAGCAGCCAAAGGGGACGCTGTCCAAGACTTTGAGATCATTGACAACCATGACTACTCCTACACCGTGCGCTACACGGCAGTGCAACAGGTATGTAACCATGACTACTCCTACACCGTACGCTACACTGCAGTGCAACAGGTATGAGTTCACATAAGGCCAAGATTCCTCACAATCTCTATACAATCTGTATTGTTTGAAGTATGAGTTATTTCCTGGCTCCTCTGTTTGGATGATGTGTTATTGGGTTAAAATGGGGAGGAAGACCTTGGTAAGATGGTGATTGAAATGTTTAAGCTGCTGAAGTCTGTACAAATATGTTCAGTATGTCCATATGTCATAATATAACACCGCATTATCTCTTTCTGTCTGTCCATGCATCCCAAGAGCCCCTCGCTTCTGTTCGAGCCATCTCTCCGTCTGTCCACATCCAGAGCGCCCGCCTTGTGCGCCCCCGGAAATGAGGAGAGAGAGAGAGCGTTTTTTAGAGTTCTTTTTGTTACGCTAGATATCGATCGGTTCCGGCGCGACGAGCGATGTCGAGGGAGGAGGGTCTTCTAGGGCGCGAGAGAAGAGCGAGCGCGTAGAGAGTCTAAGACGCAAGCCTGAGCGTCGCTCGCTCGAGCGAGATGTCTCTAGCTCATAGAGTCTCTTTCTTCCTAAAATAGCCCCCCAGGATCTTTAGCGGAGAGAGATCACAACCAGGCTATGACCCCTATTACCCACTCTCCTTCCCTCTCTCCCTCTCTCTCTACACCTCTCTGTCTCCCCCCTCTCTCTCTGTCTATCCATCTCTCAGGGTAACATGTCTATCTCAGTCTGCCACGGCGGTGACCCCATTCCTAAGAGCCCCTTCAACATCACAGTGGCTCCGCCCCTTGACCTCAACAAGGTCAAAGTTCAAGGGTTGAACAACAGTGAGTCCGCCCCCACACGTACTGTTATTTTACTAAGAAACTGACCAGGAAAAAAACCACTGTTCATCATATGGAAGAGTTTGACCTCATGACCTCCAACACATTCGTCTTCCCCAGAACACACAGTCATAGATACAACTTTGGCCTTCTTCTGACAGTTACTTCCTTTAAGAAGTTATATCAAATCAACTGGCCCTCCTTTGTGATATTCAATACTGCCAAGGAATTATTTGACTGATGCACCATGGACAGTATAGTATTTGTTTTGTGTGATGGCTTGGCTCCATAGTCGTACAGAAAATAAATCAATATTTGGTTGTAATATAATTATGATCCCCTAGGTATCTAATCATTCCAGTTGTTAAATTAAAAGCTATTGTTTCACTTTGGTGCCAAACAGCAATGTAGGCTATAGCCCGGCCTGATCCCCTCTGTCTGTCTGTGTGTGTGTGTGTTTGTGTGTGTGTGTGTGTGTGTGTGTGTTTGTGTGTTTGTGTGTGTGACCTACAGAGGTTGACGTTGGGAAGGATCAGGAGTTCACAGTGAGCATGCACGGCGCCGGTGGCCAGGGCAAGTTGGATGTGAAGATCACCTCGCCCTCTCGTCGGCCAATCCCCTGCAAGCTGGAGTCTGACACGGCCAACGAAGTGCACACTGTGAAGTACATTCCCCCTGAGGAGGGACCCTACAAAGTGGACATCAGCTATGATGGGAACCCTGTGCCTGGGAGCCCCTTCACTGTGGAGGGGATGATGCCCCCTGACCCCTCAAAGGTAGGATACACCTGAGACAAACACACACACACAACCTGTGTACTGGACAGTAAGCACTGTAGAATACAGAGTGTAGCTGCGATTACTTCACCAAAAGATTGAGTGGATAATTTAGTGGGTTTTACACTTTGAGCTATGCTGGAAGGAATGTTCAGACATTTCACAATACTGTATGCCGCTCTATAGAGCGATGGGTTCAGTCTGCATGGGGTTAGATGGTAAGGAGGACCTGGCTTTGGTCCAGTCTGCATGTACTGTATCAGTCTCTATAGGGCCTGTAGGGCAGCAGTCCTGGTGGTCCAGTGGAGAGCTATAGGGAGGAACTTCCATTAGTACATGACTTAAGGAGGCTTCCACTCTGATGACACACATAATTGCATCCAGTTTCCATTTAACACCTGTCAGAGAGGGTCTAACTCAAAACCCAGTGTGTCCCATTATTAGTGAGTATCTTCACCCCCCTCTCCTTGTGCCTTTTTTCATCTCCCCATCTCCCCCTTTATCCATCTCTTCTTGTCCCATCCATCCTCTTTCCCAGTCTGTCTTTAGTATAGTAACGTCTCCCCTTGGCATAGTTTTTCCATACTATACTATTTCCCTCCTTGACTCTCCCCTGGTCCACTGGTCCTCCCGAGTCAGACAGACAGGTCCAGGAGCGGTAGAAGTATAATACAGTGATAATTAAACAAATTCATCACTCTGATCACCTGGGGGCTGTTTGCTTTGGCCAAGACTCATCCAGAGAGTACCAATCATTAACCAACGTCAGAAGGTGTGTGTCTGTATGTGTTTCTGTGTGTGAAAGAGACAGAGAGAAACTATGTGTGTGTGTGAGTGATTACCTTTGTTCACAGTCAGATGAGTCAGGCGGTGAGGTCACTGCTGTCCCATGTGGGACTGGGGCATTGGTCCATAGCAGACCTGACCCCCTTCGCCAGATGTCCCCCCCCCCCACTATATTACTGATATTCCAATAGCACTTAATATTGCATGCTCCATTTGATTTGTAACATAGAGCACCCATTTCGATCTAATCACCCCCTCTGAGCTGTTAGTCTAACGGTTTCTCCCCCCTGCTGTCTCCCAGGTGCGTGCCTACGGCCCAGGCCTCCAGGGGGGCATGGTGGGCAAGCAGGCCCCTTTCGCCATTGACACCAAGGGTGCGGGCACTGGCGGGCTGGGCCTGACCGTGGAGGGGCCATGCGAGGCCAAGATTGAGTGCCAAGACAACGGTGACGGCTCCTGCTCTGTCTCCTACCTGCCCACAGAGCCCGGCGAATACGCCATCAACATCCTGTTTGCAGAGCAGCACATCCCCGGCTCCCCCTTCAAGGCCATGGTACAGTCCGTGTTTGACCCCAGTAAGGTCACGGCCAGTGGGCCAGGCCTGGAGAGAGGGAAGGTCAACGAGGCAGGGTCGTTCGTAGTGGACTGCTCCAAAGCTGGGGAGGCTGAGCTGACCATTGAAATTATTTCCGATTCGGGGTCGAAGGCGGAGGTGCATGTTAAGAACAACAGTGATGGGACCTATTCTATCACATACATCCCACAATTCCATGGCACGTATACTATCACCATTAAATACGGGGGACACGCCGTGCCCAAGTTCCCCGCCCGTGTGCAGGTGGACCCAGCCGTGGACACCAGCGGGGTGAAGGTGTACGGACCAGGAGTGGAACCCAGAGGTAAGAACATTCACATATTTAGATAATGGTCGTTATCATCATCATCAGGATGGATAATAGGCTTTTCTCTTTGACTGTTTTTCACTGAATCTAGACAGGGGCTTTTCAGAATTCAGGCTTCATTGCACATATTTGATACAGAATTCAAACAGGATTTCCACTGAATAGTTTCTGTGTGAGTCAAACAAGCTTTTGGACTTAAAAAGATGGTCTGTAGTTCATAAAAGACACAGTCTGTAGCCTACTTCCATGACTAATATGAATGAAGTAGTTCATTCTTAAGGTGCCAAATGAAATATAAGTGAGTGTCACATAAAGGTTGTAACTTAAATCGGAGGCTACCACATCCCTGCTGTTCAAAAGACTCTCTCTGCATCCAAAATGGCACCCTATTCCCTATATGGTGCAAAAGAAGTGCTCTATATAGGGAATAGGGTGCCATTTTGGACACAGTCTCTGTGTTGTTGTGGAAGGATCTTGCCTTCCTCCCTCTCTCTCACTGCTAGTCTAACCCTTGACTGAGTTCAGGCCAGCCATTACGTCAAACACAGGGTGAATGTCACAGTAAAGCAAAATAAACCAAGAGCTCAGGCCAAAATATGTCCATCTCCTCTCTATCCCTCTATCATTTCATTCCATTGTGTTTCAAAGCACAAAGGCAGTCTTTCCTACCTTTATCACTCCCCTTGCTTGTCCAGCGCTTACTCTATTTCTCTCTCTCTCTCTCTCTCTCTCTCTCTCTCTCTCTCTCTCTCTCTCTCTCTCTCTCTCTCTCTCTCTCTCTCTCTATCTCTCTCTCTCTCAATTAAATTCAGTATACTTTATTGACATGGAAAGTAAACACGCAAACATATAGCGACGATGGTCAAAGACAGCAATATACTAGACTATTTGTAATTAATTCTTAAGAGTCTAAGCCGTTGGGGGGCAGGTTCTAAGCTGACATATGGAATTGTTTTAAGTTGGTCATACCATGGATCATTTACTGTAGCTATTTGATTTTGAATTTTAGGACCCCTTTAGGTATAACAAAAATATATAAAACAAGTATTTGTTAAAATATTGAATTTGGCCTTTACCCATATAGCCCAAATAAATGCATTGACTAACACATTCATAAATGGCAAAAGAGACAGTCAAAGAATAAATCATAAGGAATAAGGTTTTGAGGTGTCTGTCCTATATCTAGGAGATATAAGACACAGGAAATATAATGAAGCAATAATAATGATAGTGATACTCATATTAACAACAAATACTAATAAAGAATAGGCTAATATGAATAATCACACTATACTTCTCACTGGCTGCCCCTTAGGTTGAATAATCACACTATACTTCTCACTGGCTGTCCCTTAGGTTGAATAATCACACTATACTTCTCACTGGCTGCCCCTTAGGTTGAATAATCACACTATACTTCTCACTGGCTGTCCCTTAGGTTGAATAATCACACTATACTTCTCCCTGGCTGCCCCTTAGGTTGAATAATCACACTATACTTCTCACTGGCTGTCCCTTAGGTTGAATAATCATACTATACTTTTCACTGGCTGCCCCTTAGGTTGAATAATCACACTATACTTTTCACTGGCTGCCCCTTAGGTTGAATAATCACACTATACTTCTCACTGGCTGCCCCTTAGGTTGAATAATCACACTATACTTCTCACTGGCTGCCCCTTAGGTTGAATAATCACACTATACTTCTCACTGGCTGCCCCTTAGGTTGAATAATCACACTATACTTCTCACTGGCTGTCCCTCAGGTTGTGGCAGGAGGCCACACATTTGGCTGCTGAAACACAGCATTTTTGTTTTTCACCAAGTATGTATTTAAGTTTGTCTTCATCATTTAGGTCTTCAAATTCGTTGTGTTGTTTTATAATTTGGGGGAAGAATGTATTTCTTATGTCAGAATATCTGTCACAGTTTGACAGAAAATACAGCTCTATCTCTATCTCTTCCTGGGGGCAGAATGAGCACACTGAGCTCACTGAGTCTGTAAATAGTTTGTGTTTTCCTCAGTTTTCTGTCAGTCACTGTGGTCAGATAGTCTGCCACCGTGTACTGTCTGTATAGAGCTAAATAGCATTTAAGTTTACTTTGATGATTTGTGTGGGGGGGGTTGTGATAATTTGGTAGGATTGGCCAGATTTTCTGGGTGCTGTCCTGATGATTTGTTGGGTTGGTAGGGGTTAGTGAATTGAGCCTCAGGACTACCTGGCTGAGGGGACTCTTCTCTATGGTCACCTCTTGGCAGTTGAGGGTTTTGTAATGGTAGGAGTAGGGGTCACTTGTTTTTAAATGATTATACAATTTGGTGGCTCTTTTTTTTATATTAATCAGAAGAGGGAATTGGCCTAATTCTGCTCTGCATGCAGTGTTTGGAGTTTTTCTCTGTACTCTGAGGATGCTCTTACAGAATTCCACATGCAGTGTTTCAATTGGGCCTTGGTCACATTTGTCGAATTCTTGTTTTATAAGCAGACCCCACACTTCACTGCCATATAGGGCAATTGGTTATATTATTGATTAGAATGCTTGGAGCCAGATTCTAATTGGTATGTTTAATTTTATATATATTTTAATTGGCATAGAAAGCCCTCCTTGCTTTGTCTTTAAGTTAATTCACGGCCAGGTTGAAGTTCCCTGTGGAGCAGATTTTTAGTCCCAAATTATGTGTAGGTATGTGTTCTATATCAGTGGAGCTCAGTAAAAATGGATATCGGTTTCCCTGACATCTGGATCTTTTCTGGAATATCATCATTTTTGTCTTTTTGACATTGACAGTCAGGGCCCAGGTCTAACAGAACTGTTGCAGATTATGTCATTGTCGCTGCAAACCCCTCTTTTGTGGGGAACAGCAGCACCAGGTCATCTGCATGCAGGAGGCATTTTATTTCTGTGTCGTTAAGAGTGAGACCGGGGGCTGTTGATTGTTCTATTGTTTTTGCCAATTCATTAATGTATGTATTAAATATACTTGAGCTCCGGTTGTTCCCCTGTTTCACTCCGCGTCCTTGGGAAAATAAATGTGTATGTTTATTTTCAATTTTGACTGCACATTTGTTATTTCTTTACTCTCTCTCTCTCTCTCTCTCTCTCTCTCTCTCTCTCGCTCTCTCTCTCTCTCTCTGTCCTTTCTCTCCAAATCCTATTCTCTCTCCCCTATCTTTTTCCGTCTGTAGCGGAAGGAAAATAAACAATTAGCTGTAGCGACCTGACCACAGCTTGACTGACATTACTGACCCACACGGCCCTGTCTGGCTTTGAATTGTCTTGGACGATCCTGATTGGCCATGTCTGACTGTGAGGGGTTGTGATTGCTTTGTGATTGGCTGGTTGTGTTCCTGATTGGCGGTGATTGGCTGGGCTTTTAAAGCCAGTGGAATTGATACTGCAGATGCAGACGTGCGGCTGTCAATGGGGGTTTGTGTTAACTCAGACAGACCTGCTGTCGAATTAGTCTCATCTTAGATCCCTAGGGAAAAGTTAGAGATAGACAGGGGGAAGAGAGAAAGAAAGAGAAATGTGTGTCTATCACATAGAGAGAAAGAAAAAGCGATCAGAGCACAGGAGGCTGCTGAGGGGAAAACGGCTCATAATAATGTCTGGAACGGAGCAAATGGAATGGCATCAAACACAAGGAAACTATGTGTTTGATGTATTTGATACCATTCCACTGATTCTGCTCCAGACATTACCACGAGCCCGTTCTCCCCAATTAAGGTGCCACCAACCTCCTGTGGATCAGTGAACGAGGGACAAAGACAGAAGTACAGACAGACAGACAGATAGGCAGCAAGCCAGCCAACCAGACAGACAGACAGATAGGCAGCAAGCCAGCCAACCAGACATCCAGACAGACAGACAGACAGATCAACCAAGCTCCACTTACATACTGTATCAGTGTTGTCCACAGGGGTCCTGAGGGAGGTGACCACCCATTTCATCGTGGACGCCCGTGCCAAGAGCAAGACCGGGGGCAGCCATGTCAAGGTCCGCATCATCAACCCCTCAGGCACCAACACAGACGCCTACATCACTGACAAGGGAGACGGCACCTACAGAGTGGAATACACTGCCTTTGAGGATGGTAATTCTTTGAATGTGTTGAGTCATGCATTTGGTGCAACTGCACCATTAATGTGATGTACATTCTATCTAGAGGACATTATGATGGATGAAGCAGAATATCAGGCACAATGTATTATCTGCCACACATAACACCAAAACTCATAGGAAAGTCATTAGATTGCCTTGGATTTTATTGTACCTGAATGAGTCCAGAGCCAACTCAGTACACCCATCTGATTGGCTTATAGCCCCTCTGAGGCCTGTAGTGATGGAGTCTGGGTAGCCTTGGGGCTCACCCTGTTTTATTAATGTTTTTCCAGCGCAGCACGTCGTAATTCCAAAGCAAAAACCCTTGTGGCTTTCATAAAATAAACTGTTTTCCCTCCCCCTTAGCCAGGGGGAAAAGATCAGAGCTCAGCTGTTCTACCCTTCATGACTTTAACAGACTCTAGCCTGCCAGGAAGCGGTGTGATTTCTCCCAGTGTAGGCCCCTTGGCCCATATTCACCAAGTGGCTATAAGTAGGAACACTGATATAGGATCAGTTTGGGGGATCTGATCGTAGATCAGCACTCCTACTGTGATATAATTTGTGAATACAGGCCCTGGCTGGAGATACGAGAGGAGTTAGAGAGAGGTGGGAGGGGGTTGATGTATATATAGGCCCAGGCTGTTGAGGACACAAGGGGGAAAGAGAGCACACACTTTGAGATGACTTGGAAAAGGGAGAGAGAGGATGAGAGAGACAAACAGAACAGAAAGAAAGAGGGAGGATAAGGTAGAGAGGGGAAGAGAATGAGGGATGGAGCTAGGGACAAAGACGGAAAGGGAGAATGGCAAAAAATATGTTATAAAAATGAATGGAAGCAGCTGAAACTGCAACTGCTCCGAGAAAGCGAGAAAGCGAGAGAGAGAGAGAGAGAGAGAGAGAGAGAGAGAGACAGAGACAGAGACAGAGACAGAGACAGAGACAGAGACAGACAGAGACAGACAGAGAGAGACAGAGAGAGACAGAGAGAGACAGAGAGAGACAGAGAGAGAGACAGAGAGAGACAGAGAGAGCGAGAGAGACAGAGACAGAGACAGAGACAGAGACAGAGACAGAGACAGAGACAGAGACAGAGAGGTGTGGGGGTTGTACGGTATTAATAGCTGGTGCCTGTCTACAGAGGGAGGGCAGATGGTTTTCCAATGATAGGGGGTGTGTGTCCCGTCCATGCCTCAGCCCGCTGGATTGGGGGACAGAAATACGCAACCTTGGCCTCTCTACCATGGACTTTTCATAAAGAAAGTCACACACATGCAGACGCAGACACAAACACACACACACACACACACACACACATGCGTACGTTTTTTTGTAGCAGCTTAGTAATCTAATCAGTATTCCTCTAGTGATGGCCACAGTGATTTATTGTTGAGATTGGGTTTTTTGGAGGTCATTCTGCTTTCAAAAGAAAGTAGTCCAATGTGCTTTTGTGTGTGTGTGTGTGTGTGTGTGTGTACTGTCTTACTGTGTGTGTGTTTTCTCGCTGTGTGTGTGTTCAGGGATGCACTTGATTGAGGTGCTGTATGATGATGTGGCAGTGCCTAACAGTCCATTCCATGTCCCGGTAACGGAGGGTTGTGACCCCAGCCGTGTCAGAGCCTACGGTCCTGGTTTGGAGGAGGGCCTGGTCAACAAACCCAACCGCTTCACCGTGGAAACCAGGTACACACACTAACTTCCTTACTTACTTAATCATCATCATTACCATGTGGAACATAAGGCTTCCTTCAGAGAGCGCCACTGCATCCTTCTGTCAATCTGTCCAGGGGGTACACACTGGGCACAAACTGGGGTGAAAATGAGATGGGTGAAATGGGGTGTAAGTAGGGTGAGAAAGGTTGAAAATGGTGTGGCAAAAATTAGATACTGGTTTGTTTAAATTCAGCATTTAGGTAAACCATTCTTCTTCTCTCCTCCCTCTTCACCATCCCTCTCTCTCTCTCCCTCTCTACCTCCCTCCCCCTCTAGGGGTGCTGGTACAGGGGGTCTAGGCCTGGCCATCGAGGGTCCATCAGAGGCGAAGATGTCCTGTAAGGACAACAAAGATGGCAGCTGCAGTGTGGAGTACATCCCCTTCACCCCGGGAGACTACGACGTCAACATTACCTTCGGAGGCTTGCCCATCCCAGGTACTTTATGATGTCACTTCCTCTGAGAGCCCCTTCACTTCCTGTTGGAGAGAATTTAAACTATTCTTGATTGGTTGATAAAGAATGTTGATAGGGTTATAGAAGATGTTTTGCTTGGTCTAGGCTTTCAAAAAGGTATGCGTATCGATGTACACTAGACTTGTATATACCACATGCTATAAGTATGGAATGAGAATGTTTTGCTTGGTCAGAGAGGAAGACGTGAAGCAAGATGTTTACTCTGCCCAAAATCTGTCCACGAAAATAATATTTTGTATGGATGTCAATGAGAGAGTTTAATCGCTAATTTGCTAGGTGAGGCTTATTTGATCGAATAGAAGTTTCGTAATGGCTAGGTTGTTACGAATGCACTGATATAAGTGGCATTTTGGCAACTTAAAAAAACAACAACTTTATATCGGAGTTGTGCCTGTTGTCATAGAGATAGAGCATGGACATTGCCATTGATGGCTTCCCAATGACTGTATATATGGATGGACAAAACCATTGATCACGTGACACCATTCATTCCTATGTGAAGGCTCAATAGTGCTTTGAAGCCAAATGAAGTCCATTAAGATGGCGTCTCATGGAGACATAACATGTGCAGTTTGAGCTACTCCAGGAATTGATTTTGCAGGCTAGTAACTCAAGTTGAAGGCCGGCCGGGGTACTGCAGACTGCCATTAGCAACTAAATTACCCTTTTAACGTATTCTGTGTTCAAGGACATACATCTGGTGTATTAGAAGCAATAATTGGTACCATGATTGTATTCAAATTTCTATGGCCTGCTGTTCACACGCATATCTGCCCTCTCATTGGCTAGAATGGTCCCATCTGATCTCATCTTTTCCTGCCTGCCTTCCATCTTTGAGGACATTTTCAGTATTTTCATTGTTAGAGCTGTCACTCGAATATCTTGTCAATACAGGGCTCTGGGCCATGTATAGCACATGCTAAAAGTATGTGATGAGAATGTTTTGCTTGGTCTGGGCTTTCAAAGAGGTACATAATTTTGTTTTACTTATCAATGTACACTTGAGCTGTATACCTATACGAATGTAATTCCATCTGACTCCTGCCTGTGTGTGTTGCAGGTAGTCCCTTCCGTGTGCCAGTGAGAGAGCTGGTGGACCCCAGTAAGGTGAGGTGTTCAGGCCCAGGGCTGGGTAGTGGAGTCAGAGCCCATGTTCCTCAGACCTTCACTGTGGACACTAGCAAGGCTGGCCTCGCCCCTCTGGGAGTGGTGCTGTATGGACCTACTGGTAAGAGGAGAGAGAAAGAGAGAGACACACCCACACACACACATACAGACACCCCCCTCCCACCACACACAAACCAAATGTCTTTCATTGGCTGTAAAGTTTTAACGTTTTAAGGCTTTAAACTTTTCAGACTGTGATCAATATTTCATTGCTTCCCGCCTCAGGAGTGGCTGAGCCAGTGAACATCACAGATAACAGGGACGGAACACACACAGCGACCTACACCCCAGCCAAGGACGGCCCGTACACTGTGTGTGTGAAGTACGCTGACCAGGAGGTCCCTCGCAGGTCAGAACAGCAGGAAGAGGAACCAAACTGTGATCACAGAGAAACATCTTTGATGTTTTCTTCAAATCTTTGTACTGACTACATAATGTTTTCATCCCTCTCTCATTCTCTCTTGATCCTCCTTTTCTGTCTTGAAGTGGAAATTCAGTTGAACTGAAACATTTAAATCCTTGAGAGATTTAAATCTAATGTCTTGCTTGATATTTCATAAACAACCGTTCAGTCGTGACACTCCTTTCTTTCAAAATATGTTTTTTCCCCCTCTATCTGCAGTCCGTATAAGATCAAGACATTGCCTGCTCATGATGCCAGTAAGGTGCGTGCCAGTGGGCCAGGTTTGAATGCCCAGGGTGTGCCCGCCAGCCTGCCCGTGGAGTTCACCATCGATGCCCGCGACGCTGGCGAAGGCCTGCTCACCGTGCAGATACTGGTGAGTCACCTACGCCTCTGTCACTTCCTCTCTAGACAGGAAACTGTCATAGACTGTGAGCTCAGACATTCACCTCCCTATTTAAAAGAGAACTTCCATTCCTTTTTCTTAAGATGATAAACATCTCTTCAATATTGCTGTTATGATTCATGCTTATTACCAATTTGGACATTTCTACCTTATTTTCTTATTGCGTGTTTAATTTAAAAACAAAAACACCAACCCCCATGTCAAGTCAGCCCCTCCACCCATTTTACCCATTCCTTTCTCTCTGCCCCTCCCTGATCTGGGATGTGGTTGGGTTGTGGCTGTGATGTGTCTGCAGGGTCCGGATGGATGCAGGCGTGAGGCCTCAGTGCTGGTGGAGGACTGGGGCAGGAGGGTGTGGGAGAAGCATATAGTCAAGGGGACCATACCCTTCTGTATTCATAAGAAAGGCTCCGTAAGGCCTGCTCTTCCTTTTTCTGGCCTCTTCTCTTTCACCCCTCACGCTGTCTGCCTCTCCCCTCGCCCTCTTGTTTCCTTTCGTCCCCTTCTTCCCTAGTCCCCTCCTTCTGTTGTCACTTGTCTTTTTTGTACTTGCTGAGGACCCTGGGAGGAGTATTTTGTCTTCTCTATGTCTCTTTTCACTCTCCTCTCTTCTTACTGTGAGAGATGAGAGAAGCCAGTCTATGTAGGAGACCAAGGGATTGAATACCAGATAAAAAGGGATTGTAGACCAAAGTTAAAACAACGCAAAAACAAAGGATTAACTTGCTCCCTGGCTGAAACTTCACTGAAACAAGTTTGGTGCTGTGACGAGTTGGGACAGTACACATCAAAAACCTGGAGGAGGAACTGGGAGGAACAGGGATCTGTTGGATGTGTGGAAGTGAACGTTTCTCCTAAGCAGTAGTACACAGTCCATGAAAGACAGACATTCTCCATCCCCTCAATGGCCCTCCTCCCCAGTCTGTGTGGACTGACCTCCATTGGGTTTGGCTAATTGGCTAATGTGGTTTTCTTTATCCCACTAACTGTAGAAAATGGTGCATTCCTAAACACAGCACCATCCATTCTCAAAGATAATCATTCCCATTGTTGTATTGTGCACAGCCATGTGTAGTGTGATATTGCAGAGATGACATACATAGACAATGTACAGTTTACATGAGCGTACACACACACACACACTCAATCCATGTTCCTTATACCTGTAGGACCCAGAAGGCAAGCCGAAAAAGGCCAATATCCGTGACAACAGAGATGGGACGTACACAGTGTCCTATGTACCAGACATGGCAGGGCGCTACACCATCACTATCAAGTATGGAGGAGATGAGATTCCCTACTCTCCCTATCGTATCCATGCCCTGCCCACTGGAGACGCCAGCAAGTGTCTGGTCACAGGTCAGTGAGAGGACTCTCATATATGTCATATATTCTATCTATATATATATTTATTAGGGGTGTAACGATCCATCTACTACATCGATGTATCGATTTATATTCCTATGATCCAACTACATCGATCTGTGCTCGGCGAGTTGGCCTTTTGGACAACATATATCAATCTAACATCGTTTTAAAATGTAATAAATCGATTGTATCGATACTAGGAAATAACCCATTGGATTTAAGCACGTCAGACTTTATATGGATGTTTTTTCTTAGCACTTTTAATGATAAAGGCTTTAAACATTACTCGATTCAGTCTGCCTATCCGTGACGTCATCGCCCCGCGCCAGCAGCAGCGCAAAGGCGCAAAGACAACAAAACATAGCATGGCGGACGACAGAGGAGAAGCCGACGAGCGAGAAATTATCAAGCCACCATTGCGGTCCTTACAAGAAACAGGAATCTAGGAAACTTTACCTGCACTGTCCAGTATAAAGGTATTTATTTCAGTCAGACTGGTTGAATTTTTGGCTAAAAGGTTACTGAATCGATTTCAAGTCACTGAATCGTTTCGGATCGTATCGTTCTAAATGAACCAATATCGTCCTTGAATCGTATCGACAACCACGAATCGTGATACAAATCGAATCATTGTTAAAAACGAATCGTTACACCCCTAATATTTATATCTATATCTATACTGTATGTATCTATGAAGAAAGGAAGGCCTGGATAATCATTGCTCTGATGAAGTATGAAAATGTATGCACTCACTAACTGTGAGTTGCTCTGGATAAGAGCGTCTGCTAAATGACTAAAAATGTAAAAATGTAAAGTAGCTTGGGTGGATTTAACCCATGAGGACCATTAATGATGGTTTTATTTTCAATCTACAGTTTCCATTGGAGGACATGGATTGGGTGAGCATTTCTAAACATGATAATTCTTCTGAAAACTAGAATGCATACCAGTATATGTACAGCATATGATTATATTAACTTGATGTTAGGGATGACGGGATAGTTTCAGTAGTTTTGTATGGTCTCCTTACATGTCCATCATTCTCGACAGGTTCAGGCCTCGGGCCCACCATCCAGATCGGCGAGGAGACCGTCATCACCGTGGACGCAAAAGCTGCTGGGAAGGGAAAGGTGACCTGTAAGGTGTCAACGCCAGATGGGGCGGAGCTAGACGTGGACGTGGTGGAGAATTCCGACGGAACGTTTGACATCTACTACACGGCTCCGGAACCTGGGAAATACGTCATCACCATCCGCTTTGGAGGAGAACACATTCCAAACAGCCCCTTCCACGTGGTGGTGAGTACTTCCTGATATGATGAATCATGGGTACTGTAGTCCTTACCTGAATTTGTTGGGAAAGTGTAGTTTTCTTTGTCATAGTGTTACCATAAATGTGTTTCATTCATTGGATCTGTTCTGTAACATTATGATATAACACGATGTGGGATCTCTAGGCTGGTTCAGATACAGTAGGTTTGACTCATATCATATAACAGTAAATTTATTACATAGTTATATGATAACATAGGAGTTTTGCATGGTGTGGCACTTACATGAGCCTACGATAATCGTTGGATGATTATTATAACTGTGTGTGCATGGTGATTTGGAAGTTACCCATAGAAATATGATTAGTAATTAGTCTATTTCTATGAAGTTTTCCTAAATGTGTGACTTACCCTCCCCACCAGGCCAGTGATACCGTCCCTATAATAGAGGAACCGTGTGACAAGCTCCAGTTACAACAGCCCTACCAGGCCTACCAGGGCTACCCCCCTCACTGGGTACAAACCTACACCCCCCCCCCCCCCCGCACTTACCTCCACCTCACCTCCACCCTCACCTTCAGCTTACCCACCTCCTTCATATCCCAACACCGTGATTCCTACTTTACTTTCCATGCATATCTCAAAAACCTCTGTTTTGCTTGTCCTCAGATGCTGCTCGCAAAGAATCATTGTATGTTCACTTCATTTTAGTTTTGCTTGTCTCCCCTATGGCGACGGCCATTGAGTTTGTAAGTGTCTGTTTTGTGTGCAGAAGCTTTCGCATTGCTTTCACTGTTTTTCTTTCAGCTTATCTTCATATCTCTCAGGCCTTCAAAGCCTGGACTCTCGCCTGTCCTGTCTGCCCAGAGTCAAGGCCTATGCCTGGGCTGTGCTTTCACCTCCATCCCCTCGTACTGTCCCTGAGCAGAGACATAGACCAGAATGCTAATGTTAATTTAACCATTTCCCTTTCATAGGCCACAGAGGAGCCCGTCACCCCCGGCGATATCATGGAGCCTATGCTCCGCCCCTTCAACCTGGTCATTCCGTTTCACCGTTCAGAAGGGAGAGATCACAGGTGAGATTTAACTGATGTCTGACAAGTCTGTGTGTGTGTGTAGGTGTTTACTGTGATGTGTATGATAATAACTTACCTGTGTATGTGTGTGTGCGTGTGTTTCCAGGTGAGGTGCGTATGCCCTCAGGTAAAACAGCCCGTCCTAACATCACAGACAACAAGGATGGGACAGTCACAGTGAAGTACGCCCCTACAGAGAAAGGCCTGCACGAGATGGACATCAAATACGACGGAAACCACATCCCAGGTACACATTGCAGAGAGAAACACACACATGCACACACAGAGTATAATTCCATACAGGAAGTAGATCTATAATTGGTAATTTAATGCTGTTCCATCACAGGAAGTCCCCTCCAGTTCTATGTAGATGCCATCAACAGTGGTCATGTGACAGCCTATGGTCCTGGTCTGAGTCACGGCATGGTCAACAAACCTGCTACCTTCACCATTGTCACCAAGGATGCAGGGGAAGGTAAGGAACTGAACCAAATCATACCATACTGATTTGTGCCAAACACTACTGTGCTATGGTCCATTCTCAAAGTCTTCAATCCCTTTCCCCTGCTTGATTTTCCTCCATCCCTCTCTCACCCCTTCTGTCTCCCTCTACATTCCCCTATCTCTCCTCTCTTCTGGTATTCCTACTACCTCTCTTCCTCTCTCTCCTCTCATGTCTAGGTGGTCTCTCCCTGGCGGTGGAGGGTCCCTCTAAGGCAGAGATCAACTGTAAGGATAATAAGGATGGAACCTGTACTGTGTCCTACCTTCCCACTGTACCAGGAGACTACAATATCATCGTCAAGTTTGATGACAAACACATCGCCGGCAGCCCCTACACTGCCAAGATCACAGGTACTGACTCTGTGTGTGTGTGTGAGAGAGAGAGCGAGAGAGATGAAAGGAGGATGAAACTGAAACAAGCTAGGAGGAGGCAAGCCAAAGGTTGTATTTATTAAATGCATGATTTTGTTTTCTCTTTGTTCTCTTCTGTCCTTCTCTCCCCTGTAGGAGATGACAATATGAGGACATCCCAGCTCAACGTCGGCACGGCAACAGACGTGTCATTGAAGATCTCAGAGACAGACCTGAGCAGTCTGACAGCGAGCATCAGAGCACCGTCGGGCAACGAGGAACCCTGCCTGCTCAAGAGACTGCCCAATCGACACATCGGTGAGCCACTCGCCAGGCCTGGCTCCCAAAGCATTGGTAGAGTTTATGAATATATTATTTATTCAGTAACACCTATTTTTTCTCTTGAAAGAGACCTGGTAAGATAGCAGCATGGGTAAACTTGTGTATGTTTAAACCATAAAGACTCACAGATATAGTCATTCCATTTACCTGATTGCGTTCTCCTCTATCCATCCTCCCCTCCAGGTATCTCATTCACTCCTAAGGAGGTAGGGGAGCATGTTGTGAGTGTGAAGAAGAACGGGACGCACGTAACCAACAGCCCCTTCAAGATCATGGTGGGCCAGTCAGAGATCGGGGACGCCAGCAAGGTCAAGGTGTTTGGCCAGGGACTGGTGGAGGGACACACCTTTGAGGTGGCTGAGTTCATAGTGGACACCAGGAACGCAGGTAGGGTGTTTTCGTTGGTATTCATTGTGACAAGTTCACTATTGAACATAATAGAGGGTTAAGATAATATTAGACTTTATACGTTCAGAAGTTTTAAGTTCAGTTTTTTGCTATGTATGCACTGTAAAGGGGTTGCCGTGAATTTGACAGTAACTTACAGGCAGCTCATTGGCAAGTAAGTTACTGTATTTCATATTGCAGTACACCTACAGTTATCTAAATACTGTATCAAAGCAAGTACTGTGTAATGACACACAGTACAATAATCGTAATGAATGAATGGATGGATGGATGAAATTCATTGAGGGGATTAGGGTTTGTATTTGACAGTATTTTATTGTAATTTCATGGGATTGGTGCGAGCAGATTGGCTGCTAGGTAAAATGTTTACACATTACAGTATATTAATGAATATTTGGTGTTTTGTATCACTTGCACTTCTAGAGGCCTTAACAAAAACTTCCAAACTAGCAGCAACTACACTGCAAAACAGACCAAAAGGACATGGCAAAATGCTCAACCATTTAAGATTCAAGACTTCCTTCCACTCCAATCTGTGCCCTATACATTTTAAATTGATGGGGCACAAATCCTATATCCAAGTTAAATCAGCATTTTCACTAATGGATGCAACAAATATAGCCACTTACAAGGCACGCCTCAAAATATGTTAATGATCCAGAATCAACAATACCATGCATCCACTAGTAGTCAAAAGCTGTTTGGTGCTCAAAAAATCCAGTATGGTACTGTATTCTGTGGGAGATAATTACAGTACACTGTAAAAAACCGTAACTTGTTTTTTGCGGTAAGTGCTTTCTTTACTTGTACTGTATGTACTGTTAAACCAAAGTTTCTTTGGAGTTTACAACAACATACTGTACGTTTCTTATTATATTTTTTTACAGTAATTTACAGGTAACAGGCTGCCAGTAAGTTACCGTAAAAACAAGTTATGGTTTTTATAGTGTACCATTCAGTAAAATGTTTCATAGTATTTTACTTTTGATAATACCCTAAATGACTGTATAAATTAAAATGTTATTTTACAGTGTGGATATGATTTTGGGGAAAATGTTCTGGTGTAACCAACACTCCTCTTCTACTGTACCATCTTTCTCCCCTTCTCTCTCCTCTTTCATCTCTCTACTCTTCTCATATCTCTCTCTTTCCCTCTCTCCCTCCCTCTTCTCTCTGTCAGGTTATGGTGGTCTGGGTCTGTCTATCGAGGGTCCCAGTAAGGTGGATATTAACTGTGAGGATGTGGAGGATGGTACCTGTAAGGTGACCTACTGCCCCGCTGAACCAGGAAATTACATCATCAACATCAAGTTCGCAGACCAGCACGTCCCAGGTGAGTTCAGGGGGCCTCAGGCGGCCTCAGGGGTGTCTTACAACATGCCAGTATACAATTCAGCAATTATCTAAACAGATATATCTTTGTATGGGTGGTTTTTTATTTTTGTCTGATTTGGTTCCTGACTGGCTGTGATTGGTCTATCCCACAGGAAGTCCTTTCACCGGTGAAGGTGTGTGGTGAGGGCAGGATGAAGGAGAGCATCACCAGGAAGAGGCATGCTCCATCCATTGCTACTGTGGGCAGCACCTGTGACCTCAACCTCAAAATACCAGGTGAGAACCGCCACGACCGCTACGGTCATGTTATGGTCCTGTGTGTGGTCCAGGAGTGGGATTCCAAAACGCCCGCTGGCTCTCCTCCTTTCTATCTATCGTCCCTCCTTTTCTCTTGTCTTCCTCTCCTTGCACAGTCACATGCTTTCACATACCTTTATTACACACTGTTATGACCCTTTGCTTGGCCTTCCAAGTTCTATTTTCATCTCTTGCTCTTCCTTTCTCCTTCCCTCCCTCCTCCTCCTCCTTCCACCCTTCCTCCCTCTGTAGGTAATTGGTTTCAGATGGTGTCGGCCCAGGAGCGGCATACGCGTACGTTCACGCGCAGCAGTCACACGTACACGCGCACGGAGCGCACAGAGATTAGTAAAACACGGGCTGGGGAGACCAAGCGGGAGGTGCGTGTAGAGGAGAGTACCCAGGTCGGGGGAGACCCCTTCAGGGACGTGTTTGGAGAATTCCTGGGGAGTCAGAGTCTCACAGGCTTCAGTGGGATACCAGCCACTACCAGACAGCCTCAAGAGGGTGTGTGTGTGACACAAGAGGGTGTGTGAGGCCTGTCTAATGCCAATTAATTGATTCAGAATGTGTGTGTGTGTGTGTGTGTGTTTTGTGTTAAGTGTCCAGTTTGGCTATGTCTTTTTGTTTTAATCCAGAATAGTAAATACATCTAGAATACAAATGTATGTCAAATTACTGCTTGATGCAATGATGTATGCAATTAGTCCATATCCATTTTATACGTCTGGAGTTAACATGCACGTGTCGGGATATGAATGAATGTATGAATGTGTGTGTTGGATTGAGTCGCTCCATGTTCCTCCCGTTGTCCCAGATTGGAAATTATAGGAGGGCGTTTTAAAGGAAAATCTGAGCAGTTCATGGTTGTCAACTCTGTGACCCAGCCATCTTACTCTGACATCACACAGAGACAGAGACTGATCCACACACAGCTGTATCCACATCTCAGTCTGACTAACCTCATACACATTCTCTCTGATTCTCTCTGATTCTCCACTGCCCCTATTGACAACCTGAGCGTTTGAAGAGTGAACAGTATTTTGAAGTGTTTTGTCTGATGCATTTCTCTCTCTCCGCCCCCCCCTTCTATTTCTGTCCCTTTCTCCTCCTCCTCTCTCTCTTTCTCCATCCCTCTCCCATATCTTTCTCTCTCCCCTACCTTCTCTATCTTTCCCTCTTTCTTTTATCTCTCCCTCCTCCCCTCCAGGTGACCAGGGAACCAAGGAGATGACGGCCCAGGTGACCAGTCCGGGAGGTAAGACGGAGGATGCAGAGATCATCGATGGCGAGGACAGCACCTACAGCGTCCGCTTCATCCCCCAGGAGATGGGCCCCCACACGGTCAACGTCAAGTACCGTGGCCAGCATGTCCCCGGGAGCCCCTTCCAGTTCACCGTGGGGCCCCTGGGAGAGGGAGGGGCACACAAGGTCCGGGCCGGGGGCACAGGGCTGGATAGAGGAGTGGCTGGAGTGGCAGGTAGGTTGGCTGAGGGGGGCAGTAGAGGTTTCTTAGAAAGTGATTGGCAGGGTATGAAGCTTCTGAAGAGGAAAGCCTTGCCTTGTCAGTCATTCACTAAATGTAGGATTATATTGGGCTTTTGATCAAGATAATGAATCTATCCATATGCTTATTTCCCTTTTGTATATACGGTATAACTGAGTGTCTCTGTTCCTCTGTAGCTGAGTTTAGTATCTGGACCAGAGAGGCTGGTGCAGGGGGTCTGTCCATCGCTGTAGAGGGGCCCAGTAAGGCAGAGATCACCTTTGAAGACAGGAAGGATGGATCCTGTGGAGTGGCGTATGTGGTGCAGGAACCAGGTAAGACCAACATATTATACACACTACATGAATCCAACGTACACAACAATATACTAGACATATTCTACACCTGAAATCATAAGGTTGACTATCTGCCTTCTCTCTCTCTCTCTCTCTCTCTCTCTCTCTCTCTCTCTCTCTCTCTCTCTCTCTCTCTCTCTCTCTCTTTGTTTCTCTCTTTCTCTCTCTCTCTCTCTCTCTCTTTCCCTTTCACTCTTCAGGTGACTATGAGGTGTCCATTAAGTTTAATGATGAGCACATCCCAGACAGTCCCTTTATAGTCCCCATCGCCACTCTGTCTGATAACGCACGCCGCCTTACCGTCACCAGCCTACAGGTTAGAACACACACACACATACACAAGCATTTCGCTATACCCGCAATAACATCTGCTAAATACGTGTATGCGACCAGTAACATTTGATTTGATTTGACAGTGGATGCTGAGGTTGCAGACCTTATTCTGATGTCTACCATTATTAGCATCTTCATTACTGAGGACTGAAATGGTATTATACAGTGGGCAGAGTTCACTGCTATATGAATAGACACACCTCTCATAACCTCTTCTTAGATCTAAACCGGAGATGGAACGTCATCTATATTTGAGTTGTACATGAATTTAGATTTGGTATGAATAGTTTTATTAGTGGATAGATTTGGCATGCTACTCTGAAATCTATATGCAGGCAGTGTGTGTGTGTGTGTGTGTGTGTTCAGGTTGGGGAGTGAGAGGGTTGGATAATTATTATTAGCTGCTTCTGCTATAGAGGAAATGTGTTAGCCCACACCCCCTCATCAGTCTGACCACATGGGGCTTATTATATCATTACCTTTAACCTTTGTGATTGAAGGAGATGGGGTTGAAGGTGGGCCAGGAGGCGTCATTCGCGGTGCAGTTGAACGGGGCAAGGGGGTTGATAGATGCTAAGGTTCACACCCCGTCCGGAGCTGTAGAGGAGTGCTACGTTACTGAGCTGGACAGTGGTAAGACATAGCCTGCACAAACTGACAATACACCAACTCACAACTATACAGTACAGAAAATATCCAAGATACTGCCTTATCCACCAGATTAATTTAATTTGTCTGATAATTAAGAAAATACATACAGCCAAGAACCAGCAATACATGCAGTAGTAGCATTTTACAGTACAGTACATGTAGTAGTAGCATTTTACAGTACAGTCCATGCAGTGGTAGTATTTTACAGTAAAGGGCTAGTACAACCAAAGCACCAGGTGCTTATCCTACATAATAAAGAAGTTCATCTCGATTGCATGTCTTGCTAAATGAAAGGTTCAGTAAGTAAATTGTGACATGTCGGCCTGCAGACCAGCATGCCATCCGGTTTATCCCGAGGGAGAACGGGGTCCACTCCATCGAGGTGCGTTTCAATGGGAGCCACATTCCCGGTAGTCCCTTCAAGATCCGCGTGGGAGAGATCGGACAGGTCGGAGACCCAGGAATGGTGTCTGCCTTCGGACCTGGGCTGGAAGGAGGAACCACAGGTATGAGGAACATTGTGTCGTACACACACAAACACATACAATAAGGTACACAAATACGGTATGTGTCCATTATAATTTTTACACAGTTCAGTCATTTGATCATTTCAAATACCCAAAGAAGGCCTATAGGCTATAAGGAAAAAGACACAAAATGTATAAATGACCAATACTGGCTCACATGCCCCTCCTAACTCACCTCTGATTGGATGTTTTCCCTGTCCATCTCTGTCCCCGCCCCTCCTGTAGGCATGCCATCAGATTTTGTAGTGAACACGTGTAATGCGGGGTCGGGTGCTCTGTCAGTGACCATCGACGGGCCATCCAAGGTCAAGATGGACTGTCAGGAGTGTCCCGAGGGTTACAAAGTCACCTACACACCCATGGCCCCCGGCAGCTATCTCGTCACCATCAAATACGGAGGACCATCCCACATCGTAGGCAGCCCCTTCAAGGCTAAAGTCACAGGTAAGTCCTCTATAGAGCAACGCTAACCAAACTCTAATGTTTGAGTGTTGAGTCTAGTATGTGTTGATGTAGAGATGTCAAGTGTGTGTGTGTGTGTGTGTACTGGTCTACTAAAGAGCCCTCAGACCTTGTGGGGGCTTGGTGCAATGAGTTAGAAGAGCCCCTAGCCTCCACACCATCCTATTATATTTGACATTCTGTGTTTGTCCAGAGGGCTCCTAAGCTGTGTGTGTTTATGTTTCATATGAGGAGAGATTATGCAACACGCAAGTTGTGATTATAGTTCTTATGCAACCCCACTTATGCAACCCCGCTCTCGCTCTCGCTCTCGCTCTCCCCCTCTCTCTCTCTCCTCTCTCTCTCTCTCTCTCTCCTCTCTCTCTCTCTCTCTCTCTCTCTAGGTGCTCGTCTCTCTGGTGGTCACAGTCTACATGAAACCTCGTCCGTTCTTGTGGAGACAGTAACCAAGTCATCATTGTCGTCGTCGTCGATGGGCGTGGCCTACGGCCCTAAGTTCTCTTCGGACACCAGTAAGGTGGTCTCCCGGGGCACCGGCCTATCAAAGGCCTTTGTAGGGCAGAAGAACACCTTCACAGTGGACTGCAGCAAAGCAGGTGAGAGGGGAGGGTCAGACACACATGCAGACACACACGCAGACACACACGCAGACACACAAATGCACCCACGTACAAAGTATACACGCACATACACTCACACAAATACTTAATATTGCCGTATTTCTTCCCATATAGGAACTAACATGTTGATGGTGGGGGTACACGGACCCAAGACCCCGTGTGAAGAGGTCTATGTTAAACACATGGGCAACAGGATGTACAACGTCACCTACACCGTCAAAGAACAGGGCAACTACATCCTCATTGTCAAATGGGGGGATGAAAATGTCCCCGGCAGCCCCTTCCATGTCACCGTCCCCTAA